GCCCTACAATCAAAAATATATGTTTACAATCTTACCTGTAGTGCTATTATCTATCTATATCTATATTATCTAGATTGTTTTGGTGTGAGTTACAGAGTTTTGTATCGTAAGATGAAATGTTTGTTGTCTTCGGGTCAAATCTGACCGATTTACTACTTTCATCAATCATAACTTTTTTGTTTTACATTCGATTGCATTAAGGCTTTATACAGTGCTTCTCAAAGTGTGGTCCGCGGACCACTGGCGGTCAGTGAGCGCCCCCTAGTGGTCCGTGAGTATATTGGTAACATTTCACATTAGAAATTAATAAATACATTTCAGTTTTCCGCACTCTCGCGGGAATATCTCCGCAATGGAGCGAGCTTCAGTTTCACTTTTGATTGCATGATATAGCCCAGTGCAACACCTTCATCACACATGTAGCCGCCTGTTTGTACCAATTTCAGGCGATTTGTAATCTGTTCTAGAAAAACGATGTGTTTTTTTATATTTGTGGAGTTATGTGGTCTGCGAGTGTTTTTTTATTGGTTAAGTCCTTGGTATGAAAACGTTTGAGAAACACTGCTTTATGATATCCTTCACAGTTGCTGATCACCACTTTCATTGAATTTTGGATGATTTAGTCAACTTTGTAACACCATGGTGTTCCTGGTCAAAAATTACCGCCATAAAGAAAAGGAATTAGTAACCATCCAGATCAGATATAACACACACACACACACCACACACACACACACACACACACACACACACACACACTAGATGTGTCCCCCCCCTTACGTGTCAATCCCCCATGTCAATCACACACACACACAGAACAATTTGATACATTTCCCGCTCTTATGTGCCCCTCCCCCACATGGATCACACCTGTCACACGCAATACTTGTTCAGTGTCTGTTCTTTGTATATTTACTGCAGTTTTTCATGTATACCAGTAGTCTGATACAATACTTACAGTTTGAAAGGGTGTTAAATGAAATTTGGTGATGATTAATGGTTTTTGTAATAGCAGTTAAAACAGGACCGGTCAAATTGACCGCGAACACCAAAGTAAGGGGGGGGAACGAAGACAATAGGAGGGTTAATATAACTAGATTGCACTGATACCATACATTTCTTTAATTAAATTACAAGTTTTAAGACGAACCTATTATTTATCTATTGCTCTTTTTATTTTTTTCTTATACTATATTGAAAGTTGCATTTTTATAGAAGCCTTCAGATTTGTTTCACTCTGTCGCATGAATGAAAATAAAGCCTTTGAATCTTGTTAAAGTATTAATAAAACATCAGAACATGGGGTAATATACAACTGGGCAAAGTGGTTTCAATTTCCTACATTTAAACTAGTTCAATAAAAAGATAAATGTGTGTATTTTCTAATATGATATCATCTCTGCAGGGGGAGACCCACGGCAGCAGAGTGTCTCCAGAACTCGTGGCTGAGAGCTCATCGTGCCCGTCACTCCAAAGTCAGTTTCTCCACCGACAAACTGAAGGATTACCCTCCAACAGAAAGAGGAGAAACGAGAGCTGGTGCGCACCCAAGATCCAGGGGCCCTTCTTCCAGTAAACACACACTCCCTTTAAAGGTCGCCTATTGTGCAAAATCCACTTCTTCACGTCTCTTCTACATCAACATGTGTCCCCTCTTCTTCATGTCTCTTCTACATCACCATGTGTCCCCTCTTCTTCATGTCTCTTCTACATCAACATGTATCCCCTCTTCTTCATGTCTCTTCTACATCAACATGTGTCCCCTCTTCTTCATGTCTCTTCTACATCAACATGTGTCCCCTCTTCTTCATGTCTCTTCTACATCACCATGTGTCCCCTCTTCTTCATGTCTCTTCTTCATCAACATGTGTCCCCTCTTCTTCATGTCTCTTCTACATCAACATGTATCCCCTCTTCTTCATGTCTCTTCTACATCAACATGTGTCCCCTCTTCTTCGTGTCTCTTCTACATCAACATGTGTCCCCTTTTCTTCATGTCTCTTCTACATCAACATCTGTCCCCTCTTCTCCATGTCTCTTCTACATCAACATGTGTCCCCTCTTCTTCATGTCTCTTCTACATCAACATGTGTCCCCCTCTTCTTCATGTCTCTTCTACAATCAACATGTGTCCCCTCTTCTTCATGTCTCTTCTACATCAACATGTGTCCCCTCTTCTTCATGTCTCTTCTACATCAACATGTGTCCCCTCTTCTTCCATGTCTCTTCTACATCAACATGTGTCCCCTTCTTCTTCATGTCTCTTCTACATCAACATGTGTCCCTCTTCTTCATGTCTCTTCTACATCAACATGTGTCCCCTCTTCTTCATGTCTCTTCTACATCACCATGTGTCTCCTCTTCTTCATGTCTCTTCTACATTCAACATGTGTCCCCTCTTCTTCATGTCTCTTCTACATCAACATGTGTCCCCTCTTCTTCATGTCTCTTCTACATCAACATGTGTCCCCTCTTCTTCATGTCTCTTCTACATCAACATGTGTCCCCTCTTCTTCATGTCTCTTCTACATCAACATGTGTCCCCCTCTTCTTCATGTCTCTTCTACATCAAACTGTGTCCCCTCTTCTCATGTCTCTTCTACATCAACATGTGTCCCCTCTTTCTCCATGTCTCCTCTACATCAACATGTGTCCCCTCTTCTTCATGTCTCTCTACAATCAACATGTGTCCCCTCTTCTCATGTCTCTCTACATCAACATGTGTCCCCCTCTTCTTCATGTCTCTTCTACATCAAACATGTGTTCCCCTCTTCTTCCTGTCTCTTCACATCAACATGTGTCCCCTCTTCTTCATGTCTCTTCTACATCAACATGTGTCCCCCTTCTTCATGTCTCTTCTACATCAACATGTGTCCCCTCTTCTTCATGTCTCCTCTACATCAACATGTGTCCCCTTTTCTTCATGTCTCTTCTACATCAACATGTGTCCCCTCTTCTCCATGTCTCTTCTACATCAACATGTGTCCCCTCTTCTTCATGTCTCTTCTACATCAACATGTGTCCCCTCTTCTTCATGTCTCTTCTACATCAACATGTGTCCCCTCTTCTTCATGTCTCCTCTACATCAACATGTGTCCCCTTTTCTTCATGTCTCTTCTACATCAACATGTGTCCCCTCTTCTTCATGTCTCTTCTACATCAACATGTGTTCCCTCTTCTTCATGTCTCTTCTTCATCAACATGTGTCCCCTCTTCTTCATGTCTCTTCTACATCAACATGTGTCCCCTCTTCTTCATGTCTCTTCTACATCACCATGTGTCCCCTCTGTGGAAAGAGACTCTGAAAGTTTCAGGAACAAAGATTCTCTCTCTTTTTGTCCTGATCCATTTCTATAAAAACCTGTCTGAAAATGAGCTGATCAGATTTTGGCCACTTTATGATGTCATAACGATGTTTTGTCTTGTGTAACCATTAGCAACCAAGGTAACCCCCCCCCCCCCCCCCTTATCACCTGAATCTCCTCCTAGAGCAACATTGTGTTCTTTGTAACCAAATCTCTCTCAGAGGGGCGTGGGGAGGGGCTCCTTGTTTTCATCTAAAGTAACAGACAGAGAATCAGCACTTTGGAAATGGGCTGAAACAGAGGGGATTATGGGTAATGCTGCAATGATCTGTTTGGTGTTTCAGCCAATCAGAGACAGGCTCTGAATATATCTGAGACCTGTGATACATTGATGAAGAACAGTATAATAGCAGACCTTTACAACTATCCAGCACATTTAATTTCAGCAAGGTTCATAAATTCATTTTTGGTTTCCTCTGATTTAAAAAATGTAATGCGTCTTAATGAGTTTTTATGTATTTATCCAGAAGCTTTTATAAGTGTGTGCTTTGGTTTATATGGAAACATATCAGGGATAAGTCTTTCAGAGTGCATGAGTTTTAAAATCTAGACTTAGTTACATGAGAAACCGGTGACAGATGCACGTGTTTGGCATTAAGGTGAAAACAGCTTTTCTGAGTGATGTATGTTATTTCAAATTGTTCACATTTTGCCTTAAAGTTATAATGTACAACTGAGAAATCCATTACTTGTAGGTTTTAATAAATGCCAGATAATACTTCAATACAAGATTAAATAAATGGCACAAACGTGGTCGCCGGTTGTCTTCACAGTCTTTATTCAGCCTTTCAACACAAACTTACATGCGAATGTTTTAAATTCAGTCATTTTATCTCGACGTTCCTCCATATTTAAGACATTGGCAGCAGTAAATATTTAGTTAATGTAATAGTAGTTTTAGCAGTCATGTACTTAACTACGTGTGTATTCATTTCGACCAAGAATACAACAAAACTAATGAATGAAAGTGTGATGTTCTGACTGGAGATAATGTGTGCTTCATAATGGTGTGAGGTGAGTGCCAACTTTTAGATGGTAAAGACCAAGTGTGTCGGTGTAGATGAAGTTATTCAGAGTCACAGCCGCAGAAAGATTTTCCTCCTTATGATTTCACCTCCTTCACTTTCTGGATTTCCTGTTGAAAGAAGAAGAAGATACTTTTAAAGAGTGTCTCCACTGATGTCCCGCCCCTTGGCCTATCACGTACAATGTGTTAGATTGCTAGCCAATAAAGTGCGAGTGTTACATAGTGATGTCCTATGGAGGTGTTTCACATGGGGGTGTGTGGGAGATTTTAGCCTTTGCAGACCATTTACATGCACTAAAACCTATAAAAGGGGAAAGCTCTAAAAAGACCTAAATAGGAACCCAATTAAATATTGCTTGTTAGCTTGTGCATTTATTCCAGGTATACCTAAAGTCAAATTGATGTATTTATTATATTTGATATCAGTTATCTAAAAAGGTTAATTTTAGGCACATGTGTCAAACTCAAGGCCCGGGGGCCAAATCAGGCCCTTGGTGGATTTAATTTCGGCCCGCAGGATAATTTCTAATTTCTATTAGATCTGGCCCGCCGGTATATTGCACGCACACCTTCACTCCATCCTGAGGGTCTCCTCAGCTCAGAGCCTGAGCCCAAACATTGATGACCTTGCACCCAAGATGAGATGCCAAGTATCTGAACTAGCATCACAGAGCAGCACACTGAGTTCAATGGATGCTTCCTTCTGCACTTTCTCTCAGGACAACAGGGCATGTTTGGTTTTCTCTTTGAGGGGAATAGTTTTGTTGAAGCTGTTGTTGGCCTGTGGGAAAATGTAATCATAAGAAATGACTCTGGAAAAGCTGCAGATAGAGCCATAAGAAATGAATGCAACTGATTATTTAATGTTTAATGTTGTTTTTATAGGCAATAATTTAAGCTGTGTTAGTTCCAGGTTTAATATGTGCAATAAGTTCATTTCAATAAGTTCTGCAATAAACATTGAACCAGTCCGGCCCTCCACTAGTACCAATTTTTTAATGTTGGCCCACTGTGTGTTTGAGTTTGACCCCCCTGATTTAAGGTATTAGATTAATTTAGTGGATAAAAAAGTCCTTACCTCTGACATGTAGTGCAGTAGAAGTTTTACACTGTTTCCAGTATTGATAATGAACGTAGTTACTCTCCACCACTGCTTTAAACACATGCTCTTATCCTCGTCAGTAAACCGCAGCAGCTGGCAGACACAAGTCAACAGTTTGTAAATGAATGACGTTGGATGTGATTTTAGTTGAACTCACGTCACTGAGGATGTCTCTCAGCTCCTCGTAAGCTCTCTCTAAGTCATCGTTGATGATGACCACATCAAACACCCCTGGCTCGTTGCCTGCAGGAGAACATTGGATTAGTTTCATAATGCTCTTATTTCAAGCGTCGTTCATGTCACACTGAGACACTCACTGAGCTCCATGTCGATGCGAGCTGCTTCCAGACGCTTCTGTAAACTCTCCTCCGTCTCCGTCTGTCTGTCCCGCAGACGCTTCTCCTGAGAGACAAAGACAGGACATGTTTCAACCAATGCTTCTTAAAGAAACCCATGAGCTGCTTCACAAGGAAACCAATGGGCTGTCATAACTGCAGCTTTGCACAATGATACTTTAATACTTTAATGGCAGAGATGGCAAAAGTACACACATCCTTTACTCAAGTAGAAGTACAGATACTCGTGTTTAAAAATGCTGACTAAACGTCTTTACTCAAGTCAAAGTAAAGAGGGCTTTGAAAAGTACTTCAGTAAAAAGTACCCATAACTAGCAGCTGCTTTAAAGAGTACCTGACCTCCCTTTATATTATAGAACAATAATGTCATTGTTAGCTAATGAATGTTTCCATGCTGAACAACGGCAACATGACAACGTTTCCATTGGTCCCTCTTCTTTAGAGAAGACCAGGAAATGATGGATACACGGATCGTGTTCAAATCAATAGGCACGCAATGACTCTAAAGAATAATGATCACGCATCAAACACACATTCAGACTAAGGACCAGCTGTTTGGGAAATGAGAGAGTAGAAAGTACAGGTATTTGAGTTCAACATGTAAGAAGTAGAAAGTACAGGTATTTGAGTTCAACATGTAAGAAGTAGAAAGTACAGGTATTTGAGTTCAACATGTAAGAAGTAGAAAGTACAGGTATTTGGGGTTCAACATGTAAGAAGTAGAAAGTACAGGTATTTGTGTTCAACATGTAAGAAGTAGAAAGTACAGGTATTTGAGTTCAACATGTAAGAAGTAGAAAGTACAGGTATTTGTGTTCAACATGTAAGAAGTAGAAAGTACAGGTATTTGAGTTCAACATGTAAGAAGTAGGAAGTACAGGTATTTGAGTTCAACATGTAAGAAGTAGAAAAGTACAGGTATTTGAGTTCAACATGTAAGAAGTAGAAGTACAGGTATTTGAGTTCAACATGTAAGAAGTAGAAAGTACAGGTATTTGAGTTCAACATGTAAGAAGTAGAAAGTACAGGTATTTGTGTTCAACATGTAAGAAGTAGAAAGTGCAGGTATTTGTGTTCAACATGTTAGAAGTAGAAAGTACAGGTATTTGAGTTCAACATGTAAGAAGTAGAAAGTTCAGGTATTTGTGTTCAACATGTAAGAAGTAGAAAGTACAGGTATTTGTGTTCAACATGTTAGAAGTAGAAAGTACAGGTATTTGTGTTCAACATGTAAGAAGTAGAAAGTACAGGTATTTGAGTTCAACATGTAAGAAGTAGAAAGTACAGGTATTTGAGTTCAACAATGTAAGAAGTAGAAAGTTCAGGTATTTGTGTTCAACATGTAAGAAGTAGAAAGTACAGGTATTTGTGTTCAACATGTAAGAAGTAGAAAGTACAGGTATTTGGGTTCAACATGTAAGAAGTAGAAAGTTCAGGTATTTGTGTTCAACATGTAAGAAGTAGAAAGTACAGGTATTTGGGTTCAACATGTAAGAAGTAGAAAGTACAGGTATTTGGGTTCAACATGTAAGAAGTAGAAAGTTCAGGTATTTGTGTTCAACATGTAAGAAGTAGAAAGTACAGGTATTTGTGTTCAACATGTAAGAAGTAGAAAGTTCAGGTATTTGTGTTCAACATGTAAGAAGTAGAAAGTTCAGGTATTTGTGTTCAACATGTAAGAAGTAGAAAGTTCAGGTATTAGTGTTCAACATGTAAGAAGTAGAAAGTTCAGGTATTAGTGTTCAACATGTAAGAAGTCAAAGTAAAAAGTCATCAGAAAAATAAGTAGTGGAGTAAAGTACTGATACCAGAAAAATGTACTTAAGTACAGAAACGAAGTATTTGTACTGCACTACTTCCACCTCTGGTTAATGGTCAGAAATGTGACTTTCACAGCAGCTCCATGTGTAACATCAACAGACAAATATCAAGACAATACATCAAAAACATTAACATCACAATCACTGAGAGAAAACATAAGACTTGCAAAGCTGTATCATCTCTATTTAGGAGGTTGTGTTTGTCATCAAGGTAAAGACACTTCTATATTTAGATTTCCTCTCTTAAAGCTGTGTGACTGCTGCCCAACTTCTAAGAGTCAGAATATGCTTGTTGTTGACACCAAGATAAATCTGGTGATTTAATGTTGCGTTCAAGAGATATGATGGTGGTCTTTTTCATTCAGGAGGACGTTTTGGTGCGAGTATTTAATGTACATGGTCTCTGTGAACTTGTTTATTAAGTTTCATTGTATGTAAGTGAACAGACTCAAAGTTTAAAAGTTAGAGAATGGTGTGATGATGTTATGCACTTGGGAATTGTAGATTGATGTACAGTATACACACAATTGGTTGTAATTGAACATGCATTTGCTAACTAATTACAGGTAAGGCAAGTTTATTTATATAGCACCTTTCAACACAAGGCAATTCAAGGTGCTTTACAAAAATGAAAGACATTCAGACAAAGGCATTTAAAAACAGTCATTAAAAAGAAAAAATACATGAATAAAAGTTACAGTGATGTTTAAGATGTGAATAGTTCACACAGAAGTTCTACTTCACTGATGCCTTTCTTTAAGGTTTCTCCGAACATGAGCTGTGTCCGTCCCGAGCAGCAGACACAGAGAAAAGCAGCCAGGACAAAGTCCCCAGACTCTGATTCCCTGGGGTTACGAGCCCCAAATGTCCATTAACCAAAAACGAAACACAACCGCTCAGTTTCAATTAAAAGCAGAGACAAAAAGAAAAGTCTTCAGTCTGGATTTAAAAGTAGTCAGAGTTGCAGCGGACCTGCAGGTTTCTGGGAGTTTGTTCCAGATATTTGGAGCATAATAACTGAACGCTGCTTCTCCATGTTTAGTTCTGACTCTGGGGACAGAAAGCTGACCAGTCCCTGAAGACCTGAGAGATCTGGATGGTTCATCATTTAGTAGGAGGTCGGAAATGTATTTTGGGCCTAAACCATTCAGTGCTTTATAAACCAGCAGCAGTATTTAGAAATCTATTCTTTGACACACAGGAAGCCAGTGTAAAGACTTCAGAACAGGAGTGATGTGATTTAGTGAGACCTGTGAAGACACCATTGCAGTAGTCCAGTCTACTGAAGATAAAAGCACGGACAAGTTTTTCCAAATCCTGCCGTGACATTAGTCTTTTAATCCTAGATATGTTCTTTAGGTGATAGTAGGCTGATTTAGTAATTGTTTTAATGTGACTGTTGAAACTCAGGTCAGAGTCCATGACTACACCTAGATTTCTGGCTTTATCTGTTGTTTGAACATTGCAGACTGAAGCTCAGCGCTAACTTTTATACGTTCTGCCTCCAAAAACCATTACCTCAGTACCTGTTTGTAGTTCTCCCTTTAGCAGCTGTCCACGGCTGTTTCCTAGTAGGAAGAGGGGTTGAAGAGGCGCTCTTCCTGGGTGATAACAATGCAGGCCAGCCGGTCGCATCACAGATTTCAGAGCGCTGGGCTCTTCCTGTTATTACTCCCAAATCCCATGGAAATGATTTACTCTTAGGTTTTGCACACAGAGAGTTCCAGGGAGGACTACCACTTGTAGATGTATTACCCGGTACACAGCCCTCCTGTTCCTTGGAATCCTTGTAGCTGCTAACTAGCTGTAAGTTAGCATGCCCTTTTCCATTATTTTGCAGCACTGGTAAAGTGGTGTCATTCCAACCAAGTCCATTCACTTCCACGTTAAGTTCCAACCGTTGCATTTTCATTTCCAACACGGCCATCTTCTGTAGAAGTTTGAGGAAGTCATCTGTAGAGAGCGGAGGCATTTTGCTGCTAAATAGCTAAATAGCAAGCAGTACCAGGCTTTAATTAGCTGTTGCTAGGCCACGCTACTGTAGGAGTGAGGTGGTCGTAGTAAAAATATTGAAATATGGCTGAAACCCTTCATCTATTTACGAAGAATAACTTCTTCTTCTTCTTTCGTGTTTATTGGCGGTTGGCAAACTAACTTGTAGGCGCATTACCGCCACCAACTGGACTGGAGTGTGAACAAGAGACCGAAAACAATAAACAAAACAACAACTCTAGATTATTTTAAATGTATCAATTTCTCCTAGAAACGTAATAATCTCACAATACATATTGCCTGATGTTTTCCCTAACAGCCCTGATAGCGAAAAGTCATGGTATTTTGCTTTCTTCAGTGTCTGGAAAAGCACATTTCTCTGAGTATGTTCAACCGTTTCTGGCTGGCTACAGTGTACACTTTCCGGTTGGATGCTTAATGTATGATTGACACCTGTATGACCAATTCTCATCCGACCAAGAATAACTGTCCCAGTGATAAGTTAGTGTCCAGGAGCCGCTGCTCCAAGTTATCAGAAAAGAAAAATAGGGAAATCAGCATAAAAAGAAAGCAGAGGCAAGAGCAAGCAGAAAAGCGTCTGCACTGTAAGACGCAGGAAGTCATCCAGGTGAGTTAAACTGCACAATAACTGACTGTGTACCTAGTATTGTTACTTTATCACGAATAATATTTGAGACGTGATGAATATATGACGCCCATTCAAAAAACGATTACAGTCAAATATGAATACTTAAATCCATATATCTCAATAACTATAGTAGATATCTAGAAAGAAGTAACAGTCCCAATGAGTGTGCACACTGTTATATGTGAGCATATGATGTGACTCGGGTAAAACGATCCAAAAAGAGGAGAATCATTACAGGTAAAGCTGTTTTTAAAAAACTACACTTCTATATTTAGATGTCCTCCCTTAATTGCTGCCCAACTTCTAAAAGTGTCCGAATATGAAGTGTTGCTTGTTGTTGATACCAAGAGAAATCTGTGGTGATTTAATGTTGCGTCCAAGAGATGAAGTGGAGTTGTTTTTCTTTCACAGGCAGCAACAGAGCTGAATGAATGCAATATGTGAAATACTGCTGTTATATCAATCTTGGACTTAGTCATAGTAACTATGTTATTAAGTTACAGTTTCCATAGAATCGTCTCTTTGCTAATTATTAGGTTAAGTGAGCTCAGAGGAAATGCAAAGAGGCTACATTTAGATATAATACAGCTAAGAGTTAGTTAATGTAAGAAATGTATGTGCGTTCATGTGCAGACGTATGCATAGTTTGTTAATTGGATAATTCATATCTTGCAAGACTCCTAAAGAAGTCATGAGATGATGACCTTTCGACATCTGGAACATGTTGGTGTGACATTTAGAAACGTATATCTGCCCTGTGTTTCTTAGTGGGGGCATTTCTGCGATCGGTTGCTGTTGAAGCAACTAAATAATAATGATTCATCTCAACTATTTCTGTGTTGTATTGATTCCTCTCCGTTTCATTCCTTCCTGTTGTGTTATGCTGGATCGCCACAACACTGCAATGATACTACGACTTACCAGGATGTCCATGGAGGGGGGCTGGATGGAGATGTAGATGGGGTTCAGCTCGGTCTCTTTGATCCTCCTCACTCCCTGGATATCCACATCCAGGATGCACATCAGGTTCTTGTCGATCACGTCTTGAATGGCCGCTTTACTGCAGAACCAATGCATTGAGACGCCATTAAATCATATCAAACAAGAGGCTTCGTCACGCAGGTATTGAGGGTGTAATCTTGTGATTGCGCTGCACCTAGTGAGCGAGTTAAGAGGATCGCTGCATTGACCCCGGCTGCTCAGACTCACACAGCAGTGAGTGAGTGTGTGTTATCCTCAGAATAAGAGGAAGAGATTAAATGTGACACACGAGGAGGTGCTGAGCTGCAGCGCTGCTCTTTTTGACCCGTACCTCCGCCCGTACCCTGTGGCCGAGCGTCAGAGTATATTACTGTACATAACCAGAGTGATTAGATTGATAAAATTATTAAAAATAATTCCACTACAAGTTAAAAGCCTGCATTGAAAGCCTTAATAAAGTCAATAGCAGGGTAAAGTGCACTTTATTACTGAAAGAAACAGTCATTTTGCTGTAAAATGTTCCCAGTCAGTGTTTTCCTGTTACAAATACTGTTTAGAATTCATGTGACCCCTGCTTTCATGTGTATATTGCATTGAAATGCTGTTGATGTGCAAATGTGTTCTACTACTGCTCAGGAAAATACTTTGTCCTTCAATTGATCAGAAGCATAAAATTACTTTCTGTTTTCCAAATTGTAATTTATATAAGAAATGGAGCTTTTCGATGAACGTAGTTAAAAGTAGAACATGTGCCTGTGAAGCATAAAGTCAAGGTGGCCAACAGGGTCGGTCCAAAACACTTCCATTAGGAGATACACGCTGCACAACACATGCAAATGAATGAGTGTAAGCATTTACCTTGTTCCATACAGGTTGCCGGAGAACTCTGCGTTCTCGATGAAGTCTCCGTTGTCAATTCCCTCCTGCATGACCTCTCTGGTAGTATAGTGGTAGTCTGTAAGATGCATTAACATTAGCAATGAGTCTAGTTTTAACATTCACAATACAGTTAGTTATATATATATATATAATTGCCAGATAGTTTCATCACAATAAACAGCTAAGATTACGAGGAACATGGAAGGAAATCAAAAAGGATATCATTGTGGCTTGTGGCAAACTGTGTGTCTTCAGGTGTATAGCGTTCTCCTCTAAGCTAACGTTGAGACTGTGTGTGTGTGTGTGTGTGTGTGTGTGTGTGTGTGTGTGTGTGTGTGTGTGTGTGTGTGTGTGTGTGTGTGTGTGTGTGTGTGTGTGTGTGTGTGTGTGTGTGTGTGTGTGTGTGTGTGTGTGTGTGTGTGTGCGCGTGTTATTATCAATTACTTCTGCTATAGGGCATACTGTCCATACTACATTCATATGCCTAAATCTAACAATATCTAAACCTCATAGGGTCTAAAGCAGCATTCAATACTTCATTTATGTTCTACTTCTAACACTAGTGGACACTGCGATAGCACACAATCACTAGCATGAGAACGTTAGGTTCTAAGTAACAATGAAATAGGAAATGGATCTGATGAACAAAGAAGTGATAACACCTGAACGAGACGCAGAAATTACTTAAAACTGCCGTAAGAAACTTGAATAAAACGAACCTTTTTGTAATATTTTCTTGCTATTAAAGTAGTGCATTAAACAGATGAAATGTTCCTCTGCCTCCTTTATTGTTCCTATGACATTTCCAACTGCTGGTGAACTCCACACTTACCTTAAACTACAAATAAGTCAAGATGATGTTTCTGCGTAGCGTATATATTGTACAAATATTTCCAGAGACATACTTTAGAGCAGTGCTTCTCAAACTTTTTTCAGTAATGTACCCCCTTTGAAACATTTTCTCAGCCCAAGTACCCCCTGACCGATCCCGAACATTTTTGATCGAAAAAGCCTATATAAATAATTACAATATAGTGATGTTCCCTCAGTGTTTGATTTATTAACTCCTTCGTGGCATGCATTACAACAAACTAAGGATATTTTCACTTTATGCATGAAAAAAAATAACATAACACTTTTATAAAACAGATTTTTCCAAGGAGTTTTTCAATTTAAGTCATATGTTGTTGTTGTGAAAAACTATAAAATACAATACACACATTTGATTTATATGAGGACCCCTTGGTGGTTCTAGGAATGTTTTATATAAAATTGTGTTTTCTATTTAACTTATTTTACTAAGATTATTATTATTATTTTTTTTTTTAAATCTCACGTACCCCCTGCAGTACCCCAACGTACCCCCAGGGGTCCGCGTACCCCCATTTGAGAATCACTGCTTTAGTGTACTGTTTAGCCGCCAAATTAGAAACTGCTGCGTATGTTGTTTGGGTTTTGTTTGCAACATTGCGGCCGAGTCACAAGCGTCCTAATTTCAGAGCAAAACAGTCAAATATGTTACTGAAAACCTTTGAGATAAGAAACAGACAAGAGTTCCTGAGTTAAAAGCCCAGGTTTGGGTCAGAATGAGTCAAATATGCCGTTGTTATCAGAATGTTGCTCCATCAGTGGGAAGAGAAGGACGGGACAGGAAACGGGAATCACTACAGACACATCACAGAGGGCTATTTTCAAGACTTTTTACTCCAAAGTGTAAACGGTTTTATCCTGATTCTCTAGATTACTAAACATGTTTTGAATTTCTCTTATGGTTTGTCACATTTGACTAGTGACTACAGATCTAATAATTGGTGCCTGAATGATGAAAGTAACCCCTCTGCTTTAAAACTGTGATCAGGAATCACATGGAGGTCACCTTTATCTGTGGTTTCCGATTTGTTAGGACACGAAAATGAGCTTTCTAAGTCTTCAGAGGAATAGACGTCTGCTACAGGAAATAAAATCGCCCCCAGAAGCATGGGGAGACAGTTCAGCCCTATGGAGAAAGCAAAGAAGGCACACAGAGGTTTATCCCTTTATATCCACGGATTTAACAGAGGGGACAACCAGCGTGCAGTACACTTGGGAGTAAGAAGTGTTTTTGGTGAACGGGAAAGAAAGGGGGGGGGGGGGAATGTGGAGCACAAATAAGATACAAAAAACACTTTTATCACAGTTTTTCAGTTTCAAATCCAAGTCTAAAGCCCCTTCAGGTGCATCACAGAGCATGAGGGTCCTACTGCAGTGTGAAGGTGCTTAAAACATCATCTGTGTGTTTGACAATATACAGACTATGTGGATTGTTACAAGTTTAAAGGTCATTCAGATCAAACTGCTGAAATAAAATCTAATTAAATGTCAGTTTTGGGGCTTAAAGGGGCCCTGTTATGTTCATTTCCAGGTTCATATTTGTATTCAGTGTCTCTACTGTGACATGTCTCAATGTTTTAATGTTCAAAAAGCTCTTTATTTTTCTCATACTTGGCAAATGTTTGGGATAAATGAATACATGAATGTAACACATGCGCAGATACTAAGTGTTTTTAAAACAGTTTTGAGCCAGAAGTAGCCTACCTTTGCCGTTTTCCTCTCCTGGTCGTGGGTCTCTTGTTGTGTCTGTATGGAGAAAATGTGCCTGTTAAAACCCTGAGATGGCAATACATCATCTGTAATGGCTGTTTTTGATTGATATCAAAGCAAAATTGCTGAAAAACTTCCATTTCAGCATTTAAAGGAGACATATTATGCACATTTTCAGGTTCATATACTTGTATTTCGGGTTATTACTTCAACATACTGCCTGTTTGTATATTCCTGTGTTCACATTTTGTCTGAAACTCCCAGTTTAAAAGCAATATGGGCTCTACAGACCCACACAGATATGAACTGTGCTTCACTTTGCACAGTTAATATCTATTATTGCTTGGTGTTTCCTCAAACTTAAGCCCACCTTTGGGAAAGCAAAGGAGCCTCATGTGACATAGAAGAGGGTCAAACATCTCATGGCTGGTTGAATCCCATGTTTTCTGACCAAGACAGCCCCAAAAAATGTCTTACTTCACAGTTTGCTGGTAAATAGACACTTTTGTGTACAAACACTGACAAATATGAACTAATGCCACAAAATCTATCTGCAGGGTCAGAATTAGACCTTCAATCTAATACACTGTGTTTCCTCGTGTACTTCCACACTAACGTACGTGACACGCTGAAGCCGAAGATGCCCTCGTGCTCCTTCATCAGCCTCTTCATCAGAGTGCTCTTCCCCGCTCCGGAGGGGCCGCTCAGCACCACGGGTCTGGGTCCGGACATTATTCTGAAACACACGGGAAATAACAGGGTTAAAGGGAACTGAGTTTGTGCCAAGAGCTGAGATCACCGTCAGATATCAGAGATCTGACGTTCAGGGAAGACAAGATCCTTTCTAGAATTAAATACAGGACATTTTTGTATGTTTTATTTCTTCATTTGTGATATTGGGCTATATAAATAAACATTGATTGATTGATTTGACTCTACAGCACCGGTCTGGAGGTTTTAAAGTGCTTTTAAATAAAGCTGTATTGTATTGTATATTAACCCCCCTGTTGTGTTCGCTTCTCCCCTTACTTTGGTGTTCTGCTCTTACATTTACACAAAAACAATGAATCCTCACCAAATTGTGTTTATTTTAACATCCATTTAAACTGTAAAAACGGGCCCAACTGGTCTACTTGAATAGACACTGAAATTAATTTCAAATAGATGATTATGGTGTGTACTATGATGGATGAACATAATCCAGGGTTACAGATGGGAAGTTACTAAGTACATTAACTCAAGAACTGTACTTAAGTACAATTTTGAGGTACTTGTACTTTACTTGAGTATTCCCATTTGTTGCTACTTTGTATTTTTACTCCACTACATGTATTTAATACCTTTAGTTACTTCACAGATGTGGATGAATGATGTGAAATATAATCAAGTGTTAAATCAGACTTTAGTTCCACCTGGAGTAAATCCACAAGCAACCCTGCAGAATACAAAGTCATTAAAACTAGCTGCTCCTTCACCAGCTTTGAGAACACTTTCATGATCAATCATTATAAAACATATCATATATATTATTCTGAAATGGACCAATCTGCACTACGACTACTTTTACTGTCGCTACTTTCACTATATTTTGATGATAATACTTTTCTACTTTCACTTGAGGAACATTTTGAATGCAGGACTTTTACTGTGACAGAGTATTCCTACACTCTGGTACTTCTACTTTTACTCAAGTACAAGATCTGAGTACTTCTACTTTTACTCAAGTACAAGATCTGAGTACTTCTACTTTTACTCAAGTACAAGATCTGAGTATTTCTACTTTTACTCAAGTACAAGATCTGAGTACTTCTACTTTTACTCCAGTATAAGATCTGAGTACTTCTACTTTTACTCAAGTACAAGATCTGAGTACTTCTACTTTTACTCAAGTACAAGATCTGAGTACTTCTATTTTTACTCAAGTACAAGATCTGAGTACTCTTCACTTTTACTCAAGTACAAGATCTGAGTACTTCTACTTTTACTCAAGTACAAGATCTGAGTACTTCTACTTTTACTCAAGTACAAGATCTGAGTACTTCTACTTTTACTCAAGTACAAGATCTGGAGTACTTCTACTTTTACTCAAGTACAAGATCTGGAGTACTTCTACTTTTACTCAAGACACAGATCTGAGTATTCTACTTTTACTCAAGTACAAGATCTGAGTACTTCTACTTTTACTCAAGTACAAGATCTGAGTACTTCTACTTTTACTCAAGTACAAGATCTGAGTACTTCTACTTTTACTCAAGTACAAGATCTGAGTACTTCTACTTTTACTCAAGTACAAGATCTGAGTACTTCTACTTTTACTCAAGTACAAGATCTGAGTACTTCTACTTTTACTCAAGCACAAGATCTGAGATTTCTACTTTTTACTCAAGTACAAGATCTGAGTATTTTCTACTTTTACTCAAGTACAAGAATCTGAGTACTTCTACTTTTACTCAAGTACAAGATCTGAGTACTTCTACTTTTACTCAAGTACAAGATCTGAGTACTTCTACTTTTACTCAAGACAAGATCTGAGTACTTCTACTATTACTCAAGTACAAGATCTGAGTACTTTCTACTTTTTACTCAAGTACAAGATCTGAGTACTTCTACTTTTACTCAAGCACAAGATCTGAGTATTTCTACTTTTACTCAAGTACAAGATCTGAGTACTTCTACTTTTACTCAAGTACAAGATCTGAGTACTTGTACTTTTACTCAAGCACAAGATCTGAGTACTTCTACTTTTACTCAAGTACAAGATCTGAGTATTTCTACTTTTACTCAAGTACAAGATCTGAGTACTTATACTTTTACTCAAGTACAATATCTGAGTACTTCTACTTTTACTCAAGTACAAGATCTGAGTATTTCTACTTTTACACAAGTACAAGATCTGAGTACTTCTACTTTTACTCAAGTACAAGATCTGAGTACTTCTACTTTTACTCAAGTACAAGATCTGAGTACTTCTACTTTTACTCAAGTACAAGATCTGAGTATTTCTACTTTTACACAAGTACAAGATCTGAGTACTTCTACTTTTACTCAAGTACAAGATCTGAGTACTTCTACTTTTACTCAAGTACAAGATCTGAGTACTTCTCCCACCTCTAGGGTTACCCATTCATTTCCTATGGAGGATTATCAAAATGTTGTATGTTCAAACGTCTCCTGTGGAGGACATAATAAGGCCTTGAGGCAATCAGATGTAAAACACAATATGTATGATTGATGAAATTAGTAAATGGGTCAGACTCGACCCGAACACTAGGGTTAAATGAATCATTTTAGTTAGAAGATGTGTAGAATGAATACATTACTTGACTTTTTCTTGACACCATGTCTATTAAGAACTGCTCTACCTGTGCATGATTACTGCAGTGCTGTAAAGGCTCACTAACTATCAGCGGGTCAAAGGTCACCATGGTTAATCCTTTGATCCGAGCTGCTCTTAAAACCAGCAGCAGCAGATCTCCAGTCCTACATTATTCTGCTTTTAATTTACACCGTTAATAAATTGACACTTAAGGACATTCTACTTCCTGTTTGTTCCTTAATTGAAATATCTAAACCTGTCCTCCTTGCTGCCGCCTGCAGGTTAATGTTATGGTTTCTGTTAATGGAGTCACGGCGGGTCAGTCGGAGGATTAATTGGATCGGGCCGAGCGGCACGAAGGGTCCCGGACAGGTGAACCTGAGGAGGGACTATTTAGAATTACCATTAATAGGACAGGTGACCCGGTTACCTGAGGTACTCTGAAGCATCTATTTATTTACAGTCAATATTAATACAATGACTTATAACGTCAAAGTCTGCAACAGTACAAAAAAAAAAACAGGCGACCTAAATCTGCTCAGTGTTGATATTTCCAACGACTTAATGCATATTTCACATAAGAGTCGCTAAAAGGATAATTAAAATCCCCAATAAATACATTTCCCATTCAACTTGGAGGTTATTAACTTATGTAAAAGGACCAAAGAAGAACAAAGCAATAACACATGTGAGAAACATTAACAGACGTCTGATAAATATAAGTTAAATATCAAATAACATCAATGTGTTGATCATCTAATTCTTGTTGTGTGCAAAATGTGCTCCTTGAATTGACATGTAATGCACACTAGATGTGTCACCTATGCAGAGCTTTTAAAATATCTAAGCAGCAAACAAATACTGTACAAATTATTATCATTTATATTTTAAAACAATTTAAAAAGTGTTTCTATTAGTTTTATAGCGTTTGGTAATGTCTGAAACTCACATGAATCACATTAGTGACTGCATGCGTGTTCATTAGAGCTGCGATGATAAGTGAAGTAATTGATTCTTTGATGACTCTCAGAATCAGGGATGGATATTTCTCCCAATGTTCTGACATCCATAGACCAAACAATAATCAATAATGAAGTGTGTCCTTACCTCTCGTTACAGCGCAGAACAGAGTGTGTCGTAGAAGCGTTTGATAGCAGATGATTCTTCAGCCAGGCCCCTAAGTACACTACAGTGTGTGTGTGTGTGTGTGTGTGTGTGTGTGTGGGTGGGTGTGTGTGTGTGTGTGTGTGCACTGAATCAGCTCACTGTCAGTCTGAATTAGCACCCCCTCCCTTCAGCTCAGTGACCAATCACATGTGAGCACGCTGACTTCTGCTTATCCTTTAGATTCAGCTTTTCATAAACAAATGATCACGCTACAGCAGGAAGTGTGTGTGCAGTGTGTGTACAGTGTGTGTACAGTGTGTGTAGATATATTTAGGGTGTGTACAGTGTGTGTGCAGTGTGTGTAGATATATTTAAGGTGTGTACAGTGTGTGTACAGTGTGTGTACAGTGTGTGTAGATATATTTAGGGTGTGTACAGTCTGTGTACAGTGTGTGTAGATATATGTAGGGTGTGTACAGTGTGTGTGCAGTGTGTGTAGATAAGGTGTGTACAGTGTGAGTACAGTGTGTGAAGATATATTTAAGGTGTGTACAGTGTGTGTACAGTGTGTGTAGATATATTTAGGGTGTGTACAGTGTGTGTAGATATATGTAGGGTGTGTACAGTGTGTGTACAGTGTGTGTAGATATATGTAGGGTGTGTACAATGTATGTACAGTGTGTGTACAGTGTGTGTAGATATATTTAGGGTGTGTACAGTGTGTGTAGATATATTTAAGGTGTGTACAGTGTGTTGTACGTTTGTGAAGATATATTTAGGGTGTGTACAGTGTGTGTACAGTGTGTGTAGATATATTTAAGGTGTGTACAGTGTGTGTACAGTGTGTGTAGATATATTTAAGGTGTGTACAGTGTGTGTAGATATATTTAGGGTGTGTACAGTGTGTGTACAGTGTGTGCACAGTGTGTGTAGATATATTTAAGGTGTGCACAGTGTGTGTAGATATATTTAAGGTGTGTACAGTGTGTGAAGATATATTTAAGGTGTGTACAGTGTGTGTAGATATATTTAGGGTGTGTACAGTGTGTGTACGGTGTGTGTAGATATATTTAAGGTGTGTACAGTGTGTGTAGATATATTTAAGGTGTGTACAGTGTGTGTAGATATATTTAGGGTGTGTACAGTGTGTGTACAGTGTGTGTAGATATATTTAAGGTGTGTACAGTGTGTGTGTACAGTGTGTGAAGATATATTTAGGGTGTGTACAGTGTGTGTACAGGGTGTGTAGATATATTTAAGAATATGCTTTCGCTGTGAATCCACACACTTGTTGCGTAAGCACCAGGTTATATTTTGTTGGTTTTGAAAGGAAATGCCAGAGGTAAATATACTTTAATAAAAGCCAGCATTTCTTTGAGGATTGTAAAAACAAAATGAAGCTTGCTGTGAGTTCAACTTCAACCATATTTGCAGTTTGATTCAATCTAACTACTGAAATGAGAAACGATTACGGGCCTACAAGAATACGTAAATAAGTGTTAAAATATATTTTCTTTTTCTATAATCAAACCCCTTTTCTAAGCATTTCCTTCCTTGTCTTTCATGTATTTATCAGGCAGACGAGAGTTCAAGCTTTGACTCGTTTTGCTGTCAGACGACTTTTAGGTGTGAAGTGAACACTGAGTTCACACTGAGACAGTTTTCATATCGAACCTGGAGGCGACCCACTGCATCCCAGAGTAACAATACTCACACTGTACATTCCATTCCTTACACACTTCATGTAATATCAAATATTAAATGTTGTTTACTGTAAATTGGTATTTCAACATGTATATTTCCTACTTTTGTAATGCTATTTTATTTCTATTTGCGATGTTTACATTTTTAATTGTTTCTAGTCTTTTAATTTCTCTAATGTACAATGTCTTGTCTTTTTATGCTGCTACAACGCAAACATTTCCCAAATTTGGATCAATAAAGTACATCTTATCTTATTAGCAGCTCCACTAGAGGACGTTAAGACACTGGAGTTACTTGTTGTGGTAAAAAGACTCAACAAGTGTTTTCCCACTCTGATTGAACTGTGTGTGTGTGTGTGTGTGTGTGTGTGTGTGTGTGTGTGTGTGTGTGTGTGTGTGTGTGTGTGTGTGTGTGTGTGTGTGTGTGTGTGTGTGTGCGTGTGATAATGCGGTAAAGGCTAAGAATAGCCGGTTTAGAGTGTGTGCCGGCTGTGCCTCACTAATCCTTCAGCGACCCACTTCTTAAAGGGTGAGTCCACCGTTCTCTGTCGCAGAACAGCAGGTGCTCAGTCAGTTCAGGCACAACAGGTGAATATCACCAAACAACCACTGAGTATATTGTACACACACACTTAGGGACTGCAGGTGGAACTGAGCTGTCGTCTATAATCTGACATACAGCATATTTTCTCTCTTATGTATTTTTATGCATGAGGGACTATTGCTTTGGGGTTTCTCTTTCCTGTAGTGTGTCATATAATTTTGTATGCATGTAAATGGTCTGCAATGGCTAACATCCCTGTGTTCCCTCCAGAGGAAGTTTCTCTCACACACTCTGCCTGGAACATCTCCATTGGACTCCTTTATTTACTTCCTGACATCACTATGTAACACCCGCGGTTCTATTGGCTAGCGCTTCAACCAACACATTGAACGTGGAGCAGGAGAGGACTCTTTAAAGTAGAGACCCTACATACTGATATACACCTGAACATTAGCAGGAGAGGACTCTTTAAAGTAGAGACACTACATACTGATATACACCTGAACATCAGCAGGAGAGGACTCTTTAAAGTAGAGACACTACATACTGATATACACCTGAACATCAGCAGGAGAGGACTCTTTAAAGTAGAGACCCTACATACTGATATACACCTGAACATCATCAGGAGAGGACTCTTTAAAGTAGAGACCCTACATACTGATATACACCTGAACATCAGCAGGAGAGGACTCTTTAAAGTAGAGACACTACATACTGATATACACCTGACATCAGCAGGAGAGGACTCTTTAAAGTAGAGACACTACATACTGATATGAACCTGAACATCAGCAGGAGAGGACTCTTTAAAGTAGAGACACTACATACTGATATAGAACCTGAACATCAGCAGGAGAGGACTCTTTAAAGTAGAGACACTACATACTGATATACACCTGAACATCAGCAGGAGAGGACTCTTTAAAGTAGAGACACTACATACTGATATACACCTGAACATCAGCAGGAGAGGACTCTTTAAAGTAGAGACACTACATACTGATATACACCTTGGACATCAGCAGGAGAGGGACTCTTTAAAGTAGAGACACTACATACTGATATACACCTGAACATCAGCAGGAGAGGGACTCTTTAAAGTAGAGACACTACATACTGAATACACCTGAAAATAGCAGGAGAGGACTCTTTAAAGTAGAGACACTACATACTGATATACACCTGAACATCAGCAGGAGAGGACTCTTTAAAGTAAGAGACACTACATACTGATATACACCTGAACATCAGCAGGAGAGGACTCTTTAAAGTAGAGACACTACATACTGATATACACCTGAACATCAGCAGGAGAGGACTCTTTAAAGTAGAGACACTACATACTGATATACACCTGAACATCAGCAGGAGAGGACTCTTTAAAGTAGAGACACTACATACTGATATACACCTGAACATCAGCAGGAGAGGACTCTTTAAAGTAGAGACACTACATACTGATATACACCTGAACATCAGCAGGAGAGGACTCTTTAAAGTAGAGACACTACATACTGATATACAACCTGAACATCAGCAGGAGAGGACTCTTTAAAGTAGAGACACTACATACTGATATACACCTGAACATCAGCAGGAGAGGACTCTTTAAAGTAGAGACACTACATACCTGATATACACCTGAACATCAGCAGGAGAGGACTCTTTAAAGTAGAGACACTACATACTGATATACACCTGAACATCAGCAGGAGAGGACTCTTTAAAGTAGAGACACTACATACTGATATACACCTGAACATCAGCAGGAGAGGACTCTTTAAAGTAGAGACACTACATACTGATATACACCTGAACATCAGCAGGAGAGGACTCTTTAAAGTAGAGACACTACATACTGATATACACCTGAACATCAGCAGGAGAGGACTCTTTAAAGTAGAGACACTACATACTGATATACACCTGAACATCAGCAGGAGAGGACTCTTTAAAGTAGAGACACTACATACTGATATACACCTGAACATCAGCAGGAGAGGACTCTTTAAAGTAGAGACACTACATACTGATATACACCTGAACATCAGCAGGAGAGGACTCTTTAAAGTAGAGACACTACCTAGCTGATATACATCCTGAACATCAGCAGGAGAGGACTCTTTAAAGTAGAGACACTACATACTGATATACACCTGAACATCAGCAGGAGAGGACTCTTTAAAGAATAGAGACACTACATACTGATATACACCTGAACATCAGCAGGAGAGGACTCTTTAAAGTAGAGACACTACATACTGATATACACCTGAACATCAGCAGGAGAGGACTCTTTAAAGTAGAGACACTACATACTGATATACACCTGACATCAGCAGGAGAGGACCTTTAAAGTAGAGACACTACATACTGATATACACTGAACATCAGCAGGAGAGGAACTCTTAAAGTGAGAGCAAACTACATACTGATATTACACCTGAAACATCAGCAGGAGAGGACTCTTTAAAGTAGACAGACACTACATACTGATATACACCTGAACATCAGCAGGAGAGGACTCTTTAAAGTAGAGACACTACATACTGATATACACCTGAACATCAGCAGGAGAGGACTCTTTAAAGTAGAGACACTACATACTGATATACACCTGAACATCAGCAGGAGAGGACTCTTTAAAGTAGAGACACTACATACTGATATACACCTGAACATCAGCAGGAGAGGACTCTTTAAAGTAGAGACACTACATACTGATATACACCTGAACATCAGCAGGAGAGGACTCTTTAAAGTAGAGACACTACATACTGATATACACCTGAACATCAGCAGGAGAGGACTCTTTAAAGTAGAGACACTACATACTTATATACACCTGAACATCAGCAGGAGAGGACTCTTTAAAGTAGAGACACTACATACTGATATACACCTGAACATCAGCAGGAGAGGACTCTTTAAAGTAGAGACACTACATACTGATATACACCTGAACATCAGCTGGAGAGGACTCTTTAAAGTAGAGACACTACATACTGATATACACCTGAACATCAGCAGGAGAGGACTCTTTAAAGTAGAGACACTACATACTGATATACACCTGAACATCAGCAGGAGAGGACTCTTTAAAGTAGAGACACTACATACTGATATACACCTGAACATCAGCAGGAGAGGACTCTTTAAAGTAGAGACACTACATACTGATATACACCTGAACATCAGCAGGAGAGGACTCTTTAAAGTAGAGACACTACATACTGATATACACCTGAACATCAGCAGGAGAGGACTCTTTAAAGTAGAGACACTACATACTGATATACACCTGAACATCAGCAGGAGAGGACTCTTTAAAGTAGAGACCCTACATACTGATATACACCTGAACATCAGCAGGAGAGGACTCTTTAAAGTAGAGACACTACATACTGATATACACCTGAACATCAGCAGGAGAGGACTCTTTAAAGTAGAGACCCTACATACTGATATACACCTGAACATCAGCAGGAGAGGACCTCTTTAAAGTAGAGACAACGACATACTGATATACACCTGAACATCAGCAGGAGAGGACTCTTTAAAAGTAGAGACACTACATACTGATATACATCAGCAGGAGAGAGGACTATTTAAAGTAGAAGACACTACATACTGATACTACCTGAACATCAGGGGCAGGAGATGACTCTTTAAAGTAGAGACGACTACATACTGATATACACCATAACCTGAAGCATCAGCAGGAAGGACTCTTCAAGTAAAGACAGCTACATACTGATATACAAACTCTGAAACATCAGCAGGAGAGGAACTCTTTAAAGGAGAGACAACTGATCATACTGATATACACCTGAACATTCACAGGAGAGAACTCTTTAAAGTAGAGACACTGCATACTGATATACACCTGAACATCAGCAGGAGAGGAACGGCGTTAAAGTTAGAGATCACCTAGCATACTGACATAGCACCTGAAAATCAGCAGGAGGAGGAACTCGTTAAAATAGAGACACTAACATACATGATATACACCTGAACATCAGCAGGAGGAGGACTCTTTTAAAGTAGCGGACACGTAACAGTACTGATATACACCTGAACATCAGCAGGAGGAGGAACTCTTTAAAGTAGAGACACTAGCATACTGATATACACCTGAATATCAGCAGGAGAGGAACTCTTTAAAGTAGAGACACTACATCTGATACATACACCTGAAACATCAGCAGGAGAGGAACTCTTTAAAGTAGAGACACTACATACTGATATACACCTGAAACATCAGCAGGAGAGGACTCTTTAAAGTAGAGACACTACATACTGATCTACACCTGAACATCAGCAGGAGAGGACTCTTTAAAAGTAGAGACACTACTACTGATATACACCTGAACATCAGCAGGAGAGGACTCTTTAAAGGTAGAGGACACTACATACTGATATACACCTGAACATCAGCAGGAGAGGAACTCTTTAAAGTAGAGACACTACATACTGATATACACCTGAAATCAGCAGGAGAGGACTCTTTAAAGTAGACACTACATACTGATATACACCTGAAACATCAGCAGGAGAGGACTCTTTAAAGTAGAGACACTACATACTGATATACACCTGAACATCAGCAGGAGAGGACTCTTTAAAGTAGAGACACTACATACTGATATACACCTGAACATCAGCAGGAGAGGACTCTTTAAAGTAGAGAACTACACACTGATATACACTGAACATCAGCAGGAGGGACTCTTTAAAGTAGAGACACACACACTGATATACACCTGAACATCAGCAGGAGAGGACTCTTTAAAGTAGAGACACTACATACTGATATACACCTGAACATCAGCAGGAGAGGACTCTTTAAAGTAGAGACACTATATACTGATATACACCTGAACATCAGCAGAATAGATCCTTTAAGTACAATGTAATGCTCATAAAATACTATAGTATTTCTACACCGTGGTATTTCTACTTGTACTTCTTTAAAACACCCGAGTACTTCTCCCACCACTTCCCCCACAGATGAAATATGTTGTGAAACTTTGTAGACACACGTTTTATTGTAGTAACATTGATAAAATTAGATTGAATGACCCTATACAAAGAAACACAACAAGACAACATGAGCGTGAATGAGATTACTGTAAATATTTCCTACAGGAGCTAAACGAATAAAAAATTATCTTTAAAGTGAAGACAAACTCTGTACAGTAAATACAGCCGGGTTGTTCTGCTAGTCAACGACACACACACACACACACACACACACACACACACACACACACACACACACACACACACACACACACACACCACACACACACACACCACACACACACACACACACACACACACACACACACACACACACACACACACACACACACACACACACACACACACACACACACACACACACACACTGATCCCAAAATACACAAAACTATGTACATGTGCATTGCATGTTATTTATCTCTTTCTCAAACAAAAAAAGGATTATAAAATTGATAAATATTGTCCCAAAGCGTTTCCTATGTATCTTGTGGTTTTCTTCTGTGTGTTGAAGCTGCAGCAGGAACGTGGACATCGTACAGGGCTGAAAAGGTCAAAGGTCACACCGTCTGTCCTTCAAATTGTCAGGGGTTAGTGGAAGGAGTGCACTGACGAAGAGGAAGAGGAAGAAGAGGAGGAGGAGGAGGGTTGAGGGTCTTTGACAGGCCAGCTGCCCACAGTCCGCCCCTGATTGGTTGAAACTGAGGAAGTCTTCTCTGATTGGCTGCGTCACAGGAAGACCCTCCTCAGGTCTCCAGGTGAGGTGATGGTATTGCACTGAGGACACAGCTTCTTCGCTCCCTAAAGGAAAGGAGACATACAAACGTATATTTTACTACATTTGTTCTTGTTGGCTTTAGCTAGATCCTACTTTGAGACTTGAAATGTGTTTTTATTATTTAGATTTTTAGATAGATAGAGAGATAGATAGATAGATAGATAGATAGATAGATAGAGGTAGGTAGGTAGGTAGGTAGGTAGGTAGGTAGGTAGGTAGGTAGGTAGGTAGGTAGGTAGGTAGGTAGGTAGGTAGGTAGGTAGGTAGGTAGGTAGGTAGGTAGGTAGGTAGGTAGGTAGGTAGGTAGGTAGGTAGGTAGGTAGGTAGGTAGGTAGGTAGGTAGGTAGGTAGGTAGGTAGGTAGGTAACAGAACAACTCTTCATTTCATTGTTAATTAATTGACGCAATAATAACTAGGGGTAATAACCTAATTGGGTAGGTTATATCTCTTTTGTAGACATGCAATAGAGATGTGATTTTCCATGAAACAGTTGTGAGATTTACCCAGTCTATAGGAAGGAAAAACAAACACAAAAAAGCTAAAGTCTTGGAGAAAAACTGTAATATGACTCTTAGATTTTTATGTCCTTTATTTATTAATAATAATAATAATAATGGTAATGGTAACACTTTATATTAGGGTACATACATTCACCATCAACTAGTTGTTAATTAACATGCATGTTAGCAATATATTGGCTCTTTATTAGTCATTATAAAACACTTATTAATGCCTTATTCTACATGACCATATTCTACATGTAATAAGCCATTAGTTGAGAGTTTGTCCTCAATAACCCTCTAATGAGTGCTTATTTATTGTAAGTAAGGAAGTTGTTGCACATGAGTGGGTCTTAATATGCAGTAGCAGTACCATAAGAATAGTAATTCTCCCACAATAACACCGAACAAATATGATCTACTCTTATGTAACAAGACATGAAACTACAAGTGTTAGTTGTGTCAAAATAATTTAAAATCTGGTATTTCTAACTCAGAATATGTTCACCAATAAGCTAGTAGTTTGGCTCTAATATGCATGTTAATTAACAACTAGTTGATGGTGAATATGTGTACCTTAATCTAAAGTGTTACCATCATAATAATACATGACACGTATATAGCTTTGACAGAGAATAACACAATGAATTCAGATTGTTTACCAGAGTTCGCAGCCAGCACTCCTCACAGTGCACGTGCCAGCACTGGATGGAGGTGAGGGGGGTGCTGTACGAGTCCTGCAGGAAACAGAGAACAGCTGGTGAGTTTCTACATGTAGTTCACACAGCTGCCACTAGATGTCCACGTGTAACCAGAATAAGAGCATAAAAAGACTTCCACTCAAATCAAAAACCCTTTTACTGGTTTTTTATCATTTAAAAACTTTTTCTTTTTACCTTTATCAATTCCCAGAACTTTTTAATATGTACTGTTTTCTGGAGTTTTTTATTGGCATCTATTAGGAACCTCTATGTTCCAGGTGTTAACGATTTTACACATTTTGTAATAATATAATTCAGTTTTTTTATGACTTTAAAGGATATTTCTAGGGACTACAGTTGAAACATGTCTTCCATCTGGCCTACACCTATCTAGAGCAATGTTTATTTATGTTTATTTTCCCTGTTAAATAAACATAAATAATCAATTTAATTAATTATTTTTTTGTTCTGTAGTTGTTGAAAATGTGCTCTCCTTTGTTTCATCACAAAATCTGTTGCACTTTTATGGTAAAAGCAGTCTGAAGTAACGCTGTTACCATACTGTAGTACGATACTGTGCATATATAATATAAATATATACAATGAGCTTAACGTATAAACCAGATTCCTGTAAAATCATAGTTCATTCTGCATTATTGTTCGAGCTTGAGAATATACAAATGTTATTTTGGCGAAGAACTGTATTTGCACTGAGAAATAAAATACAGGAAAAACTGATCTGGAGATGAAATCAACCAATGGATGAGCGAACAAAATTGCATGAGTTTTAGTTCACTTATAGTCTCTTTGAATCAAGGACAGCCCTAAAAGTGTCATGTCGATAAAAACACATTTACTTTTAAAATAATATTATTTCAAATTTTTCACATATTTAAAAAAAGACAACACTTGTATGAACATATCAGAATATCATCAGCACCACATGGACAGTATATTCTATAGGAAGTAAGGGGCAGATATTATTGCCTGAAACACAGGTCTACCCCCAGTTTCTGCTTTACTGCTCTGTCTCTCTCCGCTCTGACGGTTTCATCTGCCGTCGCACACTCACCATGCAGATGAGGCATTTAAATCTGTCTCCTTTAGACAACTGCTTCTCCAAATCCCGTATCCGAACTTTAAGTGCATTCAGAGTTGTCAGCGTGGAATCCTCCGAGAGCCTGCACGCACGCACACGCACACCACACACACACACACACACACACACACACACACACACACACACACACACACACACACACACACACACACACACACACACACACACACACACACACACACACACACACACACACACACACACACACACACACACACACACACAGAGGGGGGGGGGTTGTGAGACACTGGAGAGTCATTTGTAAATCGAAGACAGATTAAATTATTCGCTGGCCAACATGGACACTGAGCATGAAATTTAGCAGCAATCACATTCCCTGCATTCCCTGTCTCATTTATCATAGGGAGAGTGTGTGTGTGTGTGTGTGTGTGTGTGTGTGTGTGTGTGTGTGTGTGTGTGTGTGTGTGTGTGTGTGTGTGAGGTGAGGCGGGGGGTGAGGTGTCAGCGTCCTCACAGAGATAGACGTAAGCGCACAATTACAGGAGATGTGCAAACATACTGTACGGGCTACAGGGCATTAAGTGTGATGAAATGTGCGTCGCCTGCTCTGACCTTGATGGATGAGATCATCTCATTCATATAGTATTGTGTATCGGTGTGTGTGTGTGTGTGTGTGTGTGTGTGTGTGTGTGAGAGAGGTTTCAAAATAATCTTTACAGGAAGAGGTGGTATCATTTCCTCAGCTCCGAATGATAAAAATAACTATAAAATCCACTTTTTATACATAGAAGCTTTTCTTGACATCAAATGTGTCTCAGAGTGGTTTCAAGTGACACAGATCAATAACAAAGGCATTAAAAACATGTGCAAACAAGTGTGATCATTATAAAATAAGAACAATTACGTTACAAAAGGGTCATAAAAGTGAGTTTTAGGCTTTTTGTGATGAGAGTTTATCATTTGTTTTGGTACATTGAGTGAATAATAAATAACTAGTAAAGAAAATACATTTATTTATAATAAACCAAACTGACAAAAGAGAAAATACTATTTTAAACAGACAAAAAAGCCTACAAACAATCATTGTACCTGCTGTAATACAGTCAATACAACTGGAGAGTGGGATAACTGACTCTTGAGATTATTAGCAGTGAGGATATGCATCGTTTTGATGCCTTGAAAACATTATTTCTTCAATCCTTTAAGCCGATAAAGTCCATTTGAATGGATTGAATTGAATATCTGGCACTCTGTCAACAACTACACAGATGAACCGTTGAGTTGTCAACAATTAAATACAAAAATCTTCTTCAATCCATCTTTCTATATATTAGTACTTCCTATTATGTTCCGAATGTACTGCTCTATTACAGTAAACCTAATATCTTAAAGTTGTGGAAGAAACAAGAGGATGTCATCGTTGACTTTGGGAAACAGTGATTGCTATTTTAGTTTTATAAACCAAACATTTAATCAAGAAAATCCACAGATGAAATCCACAGTAACAAATTATTTCGAGTTGCAGCCCTGGTCGTGTCTGTAGTGTCTCGCCAGCCAGTGGCGGTTCTAGACCAATTTGACTGGGGGGGCCACTGGGGGGCCAGTTATTTTCTGAGGGGGGCACAATAAATGCAGGACGAAAAAGAGAACTAGACAGTATGAAGTAATTGCGCATAAGAAAACAATGCAATACAGTTATTGGTATTTGTTTCAGTACACTTATTTATTTCAGATAGATCTTATAGTTATTACTGTTAGCTTCAGCTTAAGTTATAGTGCAATGTTTGCACTAACACATTTAAAAAAAAATTAAAAAAACGTTTAATTGTTAGGGGGGCCACAGGGGGGTCAGAGGTCAGTGTTAGGGGCACTGGCCCCCCTGCCCCCCCTAGAACCGCCCCTGTCGACGCCAGCTCTGAGTGAAACCCTGAAACTAAATAAAAACCTACCTTTCAATCTCAGAGTTTTTGCAGGTTTGAGGAAGCCCGGCACTGATGCCGTCCACTTTCTCTCCGCTGCTGGTACACGGACTCCCTGAGGAGCAAACAACAGATAAATAAGAGACGCCCTCTTATCTTAATTCAATCAATTCTTTATTCAGAGTTTACTTACCGTCATTCGACCATTTGGAGAACTCAAGGCTTAGTCTGGAGTCAGGCAATGTTCTGCTGCAGAGACATATCAGAAAACAGACATTTAATGTGAGGAATTAAAATGTGATTTAGTGCCTTTAAAGGTGGATTGCTTACTTCACGGTTGTCTCCTTGGAGCTTTCTCCTGAGCAGGGGATCACATCTGTCTCTGTGTATCTGAGGACAAAGGTCAGGAAACAGAACAACACAAGGAGAACAAAAAGACGCTTATGTTGTATGATTGTGTTTTATTTTGAATCCATACCATATTGGTCCTACTTGACTATAAACGACAGACCGTATGTGAGAAGTCACTTATTGGTTTGTGGACTTGGTATTTTAGCTGCGTCACCTTGTTTGTTGTGAGCAGAAAGGACATACAGTAATGGTGAAGCTAAGTACAACTAATTGCCGTCAAAGACGATTTTAGAAAACCAAATATATTTTAATAAAGTGAAAACAGACTGGCGCGTTTCCACTGCAGCGGGTAGCTCGCTTTAAGCGTGCCGAGCCGTGCGGGGCCCGTTTTTGGTTGCGTTTCCACTTGGCCTAGTTTTGTCCCGGGGCTACTTTTTCACCTTTTTCTGGCCCGACTAAATCGTGGTTCTAGGGCCAGGAACAACCTGGCTGAGTCGGGCTGAGTATGCTAAACTAGAGAGAGAATCGCTGGCAAGGGGGCTACAACTACAACAAGATGAACATATTTGACCGTGATTTAATTGTAATACACGTTTCAAAATGATGCCGAAGTAACAACATACTGATACCGGTTAGTAAAAACCATGAATTAATGCTTTGACAAGTCTGCAGACAGACGGCAGGCGAAACACCCTTTTAAAATGCGTGTTTTCTAAATGTAGCTTGGCTAAGCTAACGTTATATATGCTCCGACCGTCCACACTCGCAACAACGGCCTACAGACATAAATAAACCAGCGACTGTATTCGCCATGACACAGACAGTCTGTGGTTTGTACTTGTTTAACTTTTGTCTAGTTTCTGAACAGATATGAGGAGCTGTGAGCTCTGAGTGCTAAGAGCTAACGGCTGTGTTGTTTTTCTGGAGCGCTCATTGAAGATGACGTCACGGCTCCGCCTACACTGCGTTACTATAGTAACTACCCCAGTTCCTAAACTGTAATGGAAGCGCAGCATTAAAGTGAACCGGGCCTAATAAGGCCTAACCAAACCGAGCGAGGCCTGCAGTGGAAACGCGCCATAACAGGTGTGCTAGCGACCTGTCAATTATAAGGTAACCCCGACCTTCATCATCTATTTCACTCTAAATGGGACCATAATTCACTCAATGACCATCATACTGTTTTGAAGGAGACTTTAAACTATAGATTGAGACCATAATCTCATCAGGAACATGTTTACTGAATGAATAAATCAAGTTAGAAGTCGGGTCATTTTCTCATAGACTTCTACACAATCAGACTTCTATGTCGCCCCCTGCTGGACATTAGAGATATAGCAGCTTTCTATCACTTCTTCATTGGCTTCACTTTTCAGACTTGTCGGTTGCTGGTGCTTTAAACCTTAGATACTCAGTTATATTCAGAGTTTATTCTGTGTGAAAGGATACTGCGCCCGGCCGTACTCCAGAGTGTCGTCTCCGTCCACGTCCAGGTCTGCGTCGCTGTCTCTTTGACACTCTTTAGAGGTCGAGCTCACCAACACGGCTCCTGAGGACACGATTCAAGGACTGGTGAGTGAGGGTTAGGAAGGACTGATTGTGAAAGGACACAGACATATTTGATTCATTTCATTCATTATTTTTGTATAAGTTTAAATGTATTTATTTGTTGAATGAAATTGCACCTGTCAAATGAATACACTTATTTTGAAAAAGTCAAGACAGAGAGAACTGTGTTTCATTTGATTTAAGACAAATATAGAAGTCACAGAATGTGCTGCGTGTGTTTCTGTCTGCAGGTCAGATCTTCCTCCTCCGCTAAACAAACCGTTTCTTTAAATGTGACCCTCGGAGGCATCGCTCTCCTCTGTAATCTGGACTGAAAAGTTCAGTGGCTTTCAAACTGTCACTCACTCACATCATCCCCCCTCCACTGCACACACATCTCACACATGGGTACCTCTACCACACACACACTTTACACACAGATACCTCTACCACACACACACTTTACACACAGATGTACCTTTGAACCCTCCCACTAAGGACGACATCTGCATCCTCCTCCTCTCGTTCCACTCGTCCCGCAGCGGCACCAAGTCCGCTGAGCCCTCCTATAAAACACACACACACATGGTCATAAGTACACACTCATGCGTCCATATGCCTGGTGCAGCCCGGAGCTACGTATCTGATCTGTGTTTTCATAGCGGTGTTCACATGGATACACAGCGGCTGACAGTGATCCTGATGCCACGAGAACAAAAGCAGTCGGCGCCCGTCTCCCATTACAATGGAAATGTCAGGGAAACAATCATCTGTCTTTTCTCGGGGGGGAAAAAGAGTGAAACACGCACCTGTCCATCTTCTGGTTTCCTCCTCTTCAGCTTCCCGATCTTCACTAGAAACAGAAAGGTGGTCGAATAAGATGCAGGGACTTTTAAATCGGGCCACAGTGACTTTAAGTCGGTCCCTTAATGACTCTTAAACTTTATACAAGCGTGCTTTATTCCTGAAAGCAGATTGAGTCGAGGATTTCCATGACATTTAGAGACACGTGCTCTGTGTCTCTTAAAATCCAAATATTTTCCATGAGATAGACAACATTATGGAGTAGTCATTAGGGGGAAGGGTAATGTATATGTTTATAATGGCAGAAGGTACGGTTGTCTGACTTTCTTCTGAGATACAAGGATGTGTATTTCATTGATATCAGTCTTCCTTGTTAATGTAGTTAATAGCATGAAAAAGAGTTTTCCTAAGTCTGTGTCAGGGTTCTTGTAATTGTGTGCATTAGTGGTTTCAATTGTCATTTTCCAAAAAGATATCAGGGCTTAAATTGGGGCACACTATAAATAATTAAATAGGGAGATTTGCGAGCCACAATATTTCTGAATATAAATATTATTACTTTAATTAAGCGTGAATATTCATATGCAAAGAATAGCTCATAAGATCAACATTACTCAATGGATTTGGATTGGATTTCCTTGAGTTTCCAAATCTGTCTTATCACTGCCTTTCTAGTCAAAACTAAACTTGTGAAATGTGAAAAAGAAGATTGTTTCTATTATTTTCCTTTAATCATGAATAGATATTCATGTGGGAAGAATAGCTGATATGACGGGTATCACTAAAATAACATTTGGATTGAATTCCTTTGAGTTGTTCAGCCTGTTTCAGCTCTGTCTGCTGTGAATTCAACTCGAGGAAATGTGAAAAGGAAATGCAGATTTCATAGATTTGTACACACACACACGCACACACACACACACACACACCCTCCTCTCCAATATAAAAGTTAACATGGCAGAACACCAACTGCCCCTCCTCCCGCTGTGACCTGACTGACTGCAGATTGCATAAGGGGACATTAAGTTTTAGGGTCCTCTAATTCCTACTGGATGACAGTGGGGCCCCTCCGGTTAGCACGCACACACACACACACACACACACACACACACACACACACACACACACACACACACACACACACACACACACACACACACACACACACACACACACACACACACACACACACTGGCTGGTGGCCGTGACCCGGGAGCCTCCATCGCAGCGAACATAATGAGGGTTAAAGAGACGGTCATAGATGAGGAAGAGCTCATCAAACACAGAGGAAGAGAGGTTGATTAATCAACAGAGGACCCCCCCCCCTTCTTTCTCCTCCCTGACATGTATTTAGAAGCTCATTATGCCGTCCGGTTATAAGACCCGATAAGACTAAGAGAGCTGGACAGTTTGGAGAGTCAGCGGCAGAGAGTCAGCGAGATGATGACAGCAGAGACGTCTGTATCAGAGACCTCTGCTACACTTTTAAAAACACTGAAGAAGAAGAAGAAGAAGGGGGGGGGGGAGAACACCTCAAATAAAAGTGTTCTTGAAAGCATTCTTCACAAGCTTAAGCAATCTCTTTCCAGTGTTGTTGCAAAGGTTTTATTGTAAGTTTCAAGAAATGGGGTATGTCATTTATTTCAGAAACACTTTTTGTTATTCCATGGAACCGTAAGGCTCTGACGGTCAGGATATTGTACTTTATTATTGATGTATAGACGTGACATTTTGGGGAAATAATGGGTTGTTTTATTATTGTTTATTTGATGGTTTATGAATCCTATGTTGTACTACCAAACCCTAGTACTGCACCGTTTAAAAAGGGTTTTAATTGTAAGTAATGTCTTTATTAATCTACTAAAAAGCTTCATATATCAGTTTTAGGCATTTAATAAAAACATATCCAATAGTTCATCCCCCTTTTAACTTGTTCCTTGTATCACTACTTGATCAATTATGGTACTAATTACGGTTGAATAATACTCGAGAATGCATTGGCCTTCTGTCTTAGAGCTGTCAACGTTAGACAAATGTTCAATAAGCAGATTGACTCAAAAATGATCGCCAATTATTTTGTATGTTGGTCCATTTTAAGGTAATTTTGTATGCAAAAACGGTCCATGAAATTGCGATTTTATTGCTTTTCTCTTTCATATCACATTTAAACTATCTTTGGGTTTCCGACTGACAAAACAAAACCATACATCGAAACTTTGACCGGGATGAACACATTTTTATGACATCTTCAAGTGGCAAATGATGAGAATCTAAAACAAAAACTAGCTAAATTAATCGCTTATGGCAATATTTGTCGTTGCCGTCACATCCTCTCGTGACTTTTACTGCTTGGTTTGTAAATGGTATGTGGTTTTGTAGCTGCCTGTCAGAGATAGCTGAGGCTCCACAGCTGAATATGTTTAACTATCGCTCCTGGTGTAAAACGTGCTGACGGACAAAGTGCTCCTCGGGGTGTCTTACCGGCTCGTATGCAGTCTAGGTGGGCTCCTGCGCTGTGGGGGCGTAATGGGGCGGATTTGACGTAGCACCTGCACCAGCAGAGGTCATCGACTGTTAACATATCAAGAGGTCAGAGGTCAAAGGTTAATAGCTCCTCTGCTCGTGTGGGCGCTAGGCCGGTGGAGATGGTGTGGGAAAAGGGGAGATATCTAACTAAAGAGTGAGGGGTGAGGAGGGGGGAGGGGGGGACAATGGAGACTAGAATGATTTAAAAGAACTCTGACTCTTTAGTTTTTCCAAATTAAAAGCCGTCTTAGAGAGGACTGAACTGAGTCAGCAGAGAAACAACATTTAGTGAAGCTTACCGTTCAGTCTGGTGTGTCTGTTGGCCCGCACACGGAGAAACGTCTGAAACACAGGAAATACCATGATGCTCATTTCAAGTATGGGTTAGAAAGAGGTGGGAGAAGTACTCAGATCGTAACAGTAGAAGTACTCAGATCGTAACAGTAGAAGTACTCAGATCGTAACAGTAGAAGTACTCAGATCTGGTACTTGAGTAACAGTAGAAGTACTCAGATCTGGTACTTGAGTTAAAGTAGAAGTACTCAGATCATGTACTTGAGTAACAGTAGAAGTACTCAGATCTGGTACTTGAGTAACAGTAGAAGTACTCAGATCATGTACTTGAGTAACAGTAGAAGTACTCAGATCTTGTACTTTAGTAAAGTAGAAGTACTCAGGTATTGTACTTTAGTAAAGTAGAAGTACTCAGGTATTGTACTTTAGTAAAGTAGAAGTACTCAGGTATTGTGCTTGAGTAAAAGTAGAAGTACTCAGATCTGGTACTTGAGTAAAAGTAGAAGTACTCAGGTCTTGTACTTTAGTAAAGTAGAAGTACTCAGGTATTGTGCTTGAGTAAAAGTAGAAGTACTCAGGTCTTGTACTTGAGTAAAAGTAGAAGTACCAGAGTGTAGGAATACTCTGTTACAGTAAAAGTCCTGCATTCAAAATGTTCCTCAAGTGAAAGTATAAAGTATTATCATCAAAATATAGTGAAAGTAGCGACAGTAAAAGTAGTCGTTGTGCAGATTGGTCCATTTCAGAATAATATATATGATATGTTTTATAATGATTGATCATGAAAGTGTTCTCAAAGCTGGTGAAGGTGCAGCTAGTTTGAATGACTTTGTATACTGCAGGGTAGCTGGTGGATTTACTCCAGGTGGAACTAAAGTCTGATTCAACACTTGATTATATTTCACATCATTCATCCACATCTGTGAAGTAACTAAAGGTATTAAATACATGTAGTGCAGTAAAAGTACAAAGTAGCAAACTATACTCAAGTAAAGTACAAGTACCTCAAAATTGTACTTAAGTACAGTACTTGAATAAATCGACTTTACACATAAATGAACCACATTTGCCTTTCTTCAAAAATCTTCTTAATTTGTAAATATGTGTATTTAATTATTATTCATTTTTTCCCTTTACTCATTAAGAGTTTATAAAGTCTTTGAAAACAGTTTTCCCCTTTGAGCAATATAACTGAAGTAGACTGCACTCACTGACTCCTGATTAACTTTGAAGCTATGTGTTAAAAGTGAGAGCAGTGTTTGATCAACGCCAGACCATACACACACACACACACACACACACACACACACACACACACACACACACACACACACACACACACACACACCCTAAAAAAAAAGGTTTTATGATTCTACTGACTACTCTTTGTCCAGTGCTTATAAAGAGCACTAATCAACAGTAGACATTTTTGGGGGTGTATGAACCCGACAAATAAAACCTTACTCTGATTGAAGTCTTTAAGAAATGCTCGTACATGTTGAGGAAACACAGGCTGCATTAATCCATTTTAACTTCTAAATCTTTAGAAATACACACATTATATCCCTCATGTTTCTCTTTATAACGTGATATTTTGTATCCTCACCTGGTATCGGTCAGAGTGGATGTCCTCAGATGTTCGAGGGGGGGAGGTGGGAGACCCTGCTTCACGCTTGATATGAAGAGAGAGGGAAAGAGACTGAAAAGAAAAAGGAGAAACAACAAAGAGTCAAATGAAGGATTTAAGAAACTAATCTCTCTTAAAACTCACAAGCCGGATATGAAATGTCTTACCTTGGGCGTCCTCATCAGGTGGCTGTGCTGCACTGAGGTCACGCTGCAGAGAGAGAGACGGTCACATGTTATAAAAAGCTCTTTCCTGTAGGGTTATACAGGTTTTAATGCATGTAAATAGTCTGCAAAGGCTAAAATAAAAAGTTCCCTTGCCTGGATCGCCTCCATTGGACTCCTTTGTTTACTTCCTAAGCATAGTGATATAAATATGTAACACACGCACTTCTATTGGCTAGCGCTCCAACACATTGTACGTGATAGGCTAAGGGGCGGGACATCTCTAAGCTGGTTGACCAATCACAACAGAGCCGGCCAGCTAACCAATCAGAGCAGACTGGGCTCTGGTTTCAGACAGAGGGTGAAAAGAGGTGCTGCATGAGAAAAATAAAGAGCTTTTGAACATTAAAGCATGGAGACATGTTCCAGTAGAGACACTACATACTGATACTGTATGAACCTGAAAATGAGCATAGTGGGGCCCCTTTAAAAATAGAAGCCACACACAAATCAGCTACACTATGTTCCTAAACATAGAAACTCAATATTGTCTTTTAAATGTCCCTCTGCTTTTATCTTGTCTAAATTTGTGTCTGTGTATAACCTCATTTTACTCTTTCTCACTTTATGTCTATCACACACACACACACACACGCACAGACACACACACACAGACACACACACGCACAGACACACACACACACACACACACACACACACACACACACACACACACACACACACACACACACACACACACACACCACACACACACACACACACACACACACACACACACACACACACAGTGTCCCCGTGGGCCAAGTTCAATTTGAAACCATTACTGTCCACGGAGCGGTCGTTAAGCAGATTTGGAGTGTAATGTCTTTATTGGAGGAATCATTCTTCTGGTCTAAGCAGCAGGTAATGTGTGTGTCTCCATGTGTGTGTGTGTGTGTGTGTGTGTGTGTGTGTGTGTGTGTGTGTGTGTGTGTGTGTGTGTGTGTGTGTGTGTGTGTGTGTGTGTGTGTCGGGCTCAAAGCAGCCATTAGTGGGACATTATCCCCCCCCCTGCTGTGTGATTGGTCGCCTGGAGGCCGGGGGCTGTGATATGAAATATGTAGGGAACAATGAGGCGGCTTGTAAACAGGTGACAGAGGAGACGGGAGAAACCACCTCGAGGGGGAAGAGGGGGGGCTTACAGCGACAAAATCTGTCAACGTTTAATATGACCTGAAAGGGGGACATAATAGGGATGCATAAGAGGAATACAATGACAAATGGGTAAATGATGAAGAGAGAAGTGGATAGGAAATTGTTTGAGGAAGGATTAACCAGGAGGAGATTTCAGACTCAAATCAAGACAGCAGAAGGATTATGGGTAATGTGATTGAAGTGGATTCAGATGGTGATACCTGATTTGTGTGTGTGCCAGTTTGGTGAGTTCCTGCTGCATGTGCTCCTGCAGATCTGCTGGTCTGAGAACAGCCTGACACACCGGACACATCGGAGCCTGGGCGTCGTACAGAGCCTTCACTTTACCTGAGGAGAGAGAGAGAGAGTTAAAGGAGGAGATAAAAGGCCTGCAGATGGAAACATTAGGGACTACACTACAAAATAAAATAAAACCCACAAAACAATAACAACAAACAACGACAAAGACAGACACACAGCAACAGTAGCAACCTAGTACTCATGTGTGAGCACTTATCATGTTATATGACACCCTTTCTCTCTTCTGAGATTAATGTATTTGTATGCATGGTCCTTGTTTAAATAAATACATAAAACGAATGTAACTGTAGTTTGATTCTTAATACAACAGTTTACCGCAGAGAGACAATGAGCAGCATTTTCTTTATTCAAAAGGAAGCGATTCTTTCCCCGTTTGAAAGCGATTGGGATGCCTTTATCTACTTTCTTACTGAACAGATACCTCGACGTCCAAGTTAGTCAATTAGCTCCTTTGAACACTCAGCCACTTACTGTAAGTGTGTACACGGTAACACTGCATTTAATAGCCCAGGATTTTCTTTGATCCAATCACTAAACTCAACCGGACTCTATATTGTTTGATTCTTTCTGCACAAAACTCTTGCTAAAAAAAAGATGGAAATTACCATCAAATTGTGTATTTATTCCATTATGAATATAGGCTTTGGAATTACATATCAACTATGAATTATACATTCATCAAGCTCTGAAACGGCGACGATCATTTTCCAATGGTACCCCAGGATTTGTAATAGGCCTTTCCCCGTTTCAAAGTCAGAAACCTACAAAGAAGTCAAATAGTGCAAGTCACAATGGTGCAAATAAATGCAGAAATAAGTCAACTATATTCACACCCTTAAGGTAAAGTGGACTCTGAGTGTTTTTAATTGGATCCAAACAAAACTAAAATTAAAAAACATCACATGTGTGCAGTAATTAACTTTTTTTTTTATAGCAATCAGTGTTCAGACAAATGTGTTTCCACTACAGCAACACTTAACATATAAGTATGATTTCTGCAGGTGAGCACACCCTCAGTAGACCTGTGTGTACTATTGACAGACAGTGGCAGTGAGAGTAAAACAAGGTTATACACACACACACACACACACACACACACACACACACACACACACACACACACACACACACACACACACACACACACACACACACACACACACGCACGCACCACACACACACACACACACACACACACACACACAGCGATGGCCCCCTGCTGTCAAGTGTGTTGACATCATAGGCTGTCAATAGGAACATTACCCATGAGGGGCCCTCGCCCCATTGGGCCCCGCTGATGGATTACAGCGATAAGCAGCCAGCTGGGAGCCGAGGAGCTCCACTATATCAAGATTTTACCTAGTAGATGAGGTGATTTACTCCTGAAAGCCATCAATCACACGCACACTGCTAGTATAGGCATGATGCACATAATTCCCCATCTCTGCAGTCACAAAACAAATGGCACAGCTGGAACAATTTAACACTTTTAAAAACACAACGTTTCCACTAAGTGAGGAGCATGGAGGACTGAGCCATTCGTTTATCATCCTGTTTTCCAAACACTGGACTAAAACTCTCCCCCAGCTGAAAGACATCCATCTTAAAACAAGAAAATATGTGTTTTGACTAGATAAAAGATTTGAAACAAGTGTTATAATCTGACCGTACAGTGAGACGATTACACTTAATAGGATTTTTTAAAGATAACTTTTGAAATAAGAATAATATATAGATTCTAGAAAAGTGACCAATGTCTTGAAGTAAGCAAAAAAAGGCAGATTTGTTAATACTTTGGGAATTAATGTCATGATGTTAATGGATCCCATGTGATTTTAAACACATTTTTTACTTTACAAGTACAAATAATTCCTTAAAAATAAGTAACGTGGCTTAGACCGATGTGTCTCTTGCAGAAATGTATCTGGAAAATACCTTTTTTTAAGATTTAAGGCTAACACAGTAAGAACGAGGAAGGCAAATATTCTTAAAAACAGCTTCAGCATCTTACACAAGCAACTCACTTATTATATTCCAGAAATATATTGTTTCCTGAAAAGGTTTGGTACTTAGTTGTAACAGAGTATTTTTCCGGCTTTTGGAGTAACAGAATACATGTAGTGGGATTATTAGTAACTGTTTTCTGTTACAGGCAGACAAATATTATTTAAATGATCTGATACTACAAAATGCTGATGATTCAATTTTAACAGGTAATTACAAATGTTATCAGAATAGACTTTTAAAGTAACCCTCCCAACCCTGCACATATATAGCAAACATGGCCCCTCCCACACTATTAAATCTGATGTTTGTGTGGAGCAGAGGTGAATTGTTGAGTGGGGGGGAGAGGCTGTCAGAGAGGGAAGAGGGGGGGCTCATCCAAAAAGTGGACCAATAAAACACCTGAAAATCAAATCCCAATGCTCTTATCGCGGCGCCATTCAGAGACGTTATCTGTGCAGGTAATGTGGTTATAAATTCAATTTCAGCTCCGAGATTTCATTGTTTACTGATGCCTGCATGTTCCGGGCGGTGGAGCGCAGAAAGCCCGGGAACGCTCGATGCGTGTCGGGAAAAGTCATTTAGGTTTCCGCGAGGGGATGCAAAAAAGGCGAGAGAGAGAAAGAGAGGAGGGAGTGGGGGGGGGGGGGGGGAGAAAGCGGGAGAACTGTCACTCTCCCAAGGACACCTGACTCCACTTTCTATTTTCCAACACATGTTTTATTTAGAGGCCATTTGGTCCTGTTTGGTGCCTCATTACGGGGTCTCATAGCTCCACTGATGTCAGGGGGACGCCACTTCAGACACACATCGACGTCTAATCTCATCGCGTTGCTGGTTATTTGGAGTGAACTGCAAAAACTCCTGATCCCCTCAAAATGTAGTATCCTAGATTTAGACACACGGGCATCACTTAGGGGGATCTATTTTCTGATAGAAAAACAACTTGCAGCACCTATTTTCACCCTCTGTCTGAAACCAGAGCCCTGTCTGCTCTGATTGTCCTGCTCTGTTGTGATTGGTCAACTGCTTAGAGATGTTCACGCTCACGTTCAATGTGTTGGAGCGCTAGCCAATAGAAGCACGAGTGTGTACTGATGTCACTATGTTACAGAAGTAAACAAAGGAGTCCAATGGAGGCGTTTCAGGCAGCGGAACGATGAGATTGTAGCCTTTGCAGACCATTTACATACACCAGGGCTCGACAGTAACGGTTGCCAGGTTGCCATTGGCAACCATTAAAAAAAAATTTCAACCACTTCTTGGCCTTTGGTTGCCATCAGTGGCACCCAGTTTTTAACATAAATAAATAAGGACAGGAAACAGCTAAATGTGCACCCCAAAATAGATGAATGTTAATTATTTGTTGTATTAAGAGTGATATTTAATTATTGTTGTGACCAGTTGGAACCTGATACTTAAGTTGCACGTGCATTGGTGTGATTACGGAGCCAGAAAGCGATGCACATTTACTCGCGTGCGCGGTGTGTTTGTTTTACCAAAATAAAAGTGCTAAATGAAACTTTACCATAGAAAAATATTGGCATACAAATATAATCACTTCTATAGAAAGGTAACACATGTTAAATATAGTTAGACATATTAAAAGGTAATTTACAGCATTAATAATTAATATCTAATTCTTAACTATGAATGGTTTTCATTTATTTAACATTAGAAATGTATTAGTCTGGCCAATCCAAGACTTCAATGCTGAATGGACCTATGGTGGGGGTCAGCACAAAGGTCAGGAAAACCCAAATTTGAAAGGAAGACAACGGATGACGAAACTAGTGACTTGCTCAATTCATTTGTGAGGGATCTGTGAAGAACATGACAACAGCTGCACTACTGGTATTTTGTATACCAGCAATTGAGGGTGGACAAGTTTACTACCACTTAGGTTTCAAATAATTGTTAATTACTTATTGTAAAGCATTTGAACATTCTTTTGTGTCACATTTTCATTATTAAGTTGATGTATAACTGCATAGTATCTTCATTATTTAAAATATAAGGTGACTAAAAATGGCAACCATATTTTCAACCACTGGCAACCACTTAAAAAAGTTAGCGTTGAGCCCTGTACACCAAAACCTATATAACATAACACACAACAAGAAGCGGAAAACCTTAAAAAGCATAACACGGCCTGTTTAATCATTTGAAATTGCGAAGCATCTAATGTTGACAATTAAATCTAATGGAGTAAAAAGTAGAATATTTGCTTCAAATTGTAGAGGAGGGAAAGTGTCTAGCGGCAGAGGCTCAGTCTGTAGGGATGGGATTGGCTTGGGAACCAAAGGGTTTCAAGTTCAAGTCCCGATTGGACCAAGTAACAACATTGTAAGTAAAATGTAGTGAAGTAAAAATTACATTAATAGTTAGTTTGGGAACTGAAAGCTCACCGGTTCAAGTCCCAAACGGCCCATGTAACGAGTGTCGTCAAAAAAAGGAAGTGGGGTTAAAAGAGCAATACTTGTTGGCCTGGGAACTTTAGGCTTCAAGTCCCAATCAGACAAAAGTACAATATGTGTTGGTTTAGGTTCCGAAAGGACGCTGGTTCAAGGCATGTTTGGGCCAGGTAAATAATGTTTTGTTTTAAATGTAGCCGCCTGGGAACCGAAGGGTCTACTGTTCATGTCCAGATCGAACCAAGGAACTCATGTCCAAAAATGTAGTGGAGTAAAAATGATAATACTTGTTGATGTAGGAATATGAGAGTCGCTGGTTCAAGGCGTGATCAGAAAAAATAACAAAAAGAAGAATTAAAAGTACAATAGTCGTTGGCCTGGGAACAATTCATAAGAACTAATTCATGTCAAACAAATTGAGTGGTGTAAAATCCAATATTGTTATAAAACTACAATATTACAGAGGGTGGACTGGTAGCTGGTGTGTTCAGGTCCTGTTTGTGCATGTGCATGTCCGTCCTATAAGTGAAGTGATGTAAACAAAGTACAGTGAATATCTAATTTCCCCTTAGGGATTATTCAAGTATGTCTTCAAATTGAAACCCTCAAGTAAAGTCCCTTAAATGTGTTCAGTATGAGTGAATGTACTTTCCAACTCTCTGTGTGCCAACATGCTTTTGCTGCAGCCTGACAGCGTTCTCATAAGTGACAGTTGTTGGTTCACGACCACCTTTTTTACACGTCTCCATCCACCCCCACATAAACCCTGTCAGTGTGAGTCAGCCTCAGCCCCTCTTCAGCCTGGGGGGTCTCAGACACACAACAGGGGGCTGTAAAAGCTGCCTGGGGGGCTTGTTAACCGCTCCCTCACTACGGCAACTGGCTGGGATGCATTGGCCGTCTCTCTGTGGACGATGTGCTGAGTTTCACTGGCTCGTCTCCTAATGGATTCCCTTTCTCTGTCTCCGATTGTTTCCCCTGTTTTCTGTCTTTGTGTCTCGCCAGTTCAGGACCTCCTCTCCTGGATGTCTAGTCTTTGTCCAGCTGCTCTGTGCACTTACTGTTCCCACTGGGGAGGATGCTTATCTTTGCTTCATTCCGGGGGTTGTTGTAATGAAACCTAATTTCACTTTTATCCCAATCTATCGTCAAACTATTCTCCTAACCACTTTACAATGGTCAGTGGTGGAATCTACGAGTATCATGGAAAATAAATCAATTTACACTGCATATTTTCAGGATGGAGTCACGGAGATCAGCATATAAACCCAAATACAATCTCTTATCTCCTCCTTGATGTCAAGAAACCCCATTAGAGCGCTATCACCAACGTCTCATGGACACACTAAAGTTCACCTTCATTCATCACACCAATGATTGATGGTTGAAATCCAGTTTCTGTTGCTCTGCATGAAGACGTGGACATTGCCAACAGAGAGATCAGAAACCCGCTGACAAATCCTTAAAGCGTCGCCCCCCCCGAGGGCCCGGTAATGGCCGATGCCAGCGCCCATATGACGGCTGCCAGTTCTGCTGATGCAGACGGAGCGAGATGCCTAACGTGACCTTTAGTGAATGCCACATCGCATCAGGCTGGACGTCACCCGCTGACATTATGCTGGGGCATGAAAAGGCTGTTCTGCAGGGGGGGGGGGGGGCATGGTGACGAATAAACACCCCCCCCCCCGGGGACAAACCTGTGGACGGGCTGTAATTCTGATTGACGTGAGGAGGATCGGACGTCTTTGAATGGCAGGAGGACAGAAAAGACTGGAAAGACTGAAGCGTTGACTTTAATTAAATGTATTAAAGGTCCCCTATTATACCTTTTTTTCATCAATATATTATAGGTCTCAGATATATACAAAACATGTCTCGGAAGTGTGCTGATTCTGTCTGTTACTTTAGATTAAAATAAGGAGCCCCTCCCCACGCCCCTCTGAGAGAGATTTGGTTACAAAGAACACAATGGTGCTCTAGGAGGAGATTCAGGTGATAAGGGGGGGGGGGGGTTACCTTGGTTGCTAATGGTTACACAAGCCAAAACATCATTATGACATCATAAAGTGGCCAAAATCTGATCAGCTCATTTTCAGACAGGTTTTTATAGAAATGGATCAAAAAGAGAGAGAATCTTTGTTCCTGAAACTTTCAGAGTCTCTTTCCACAGAGGGGACACATGTTGATGAAGAAGAGACATGAAGAAGAGGGGACACATGTTGATGTAGAAGAGACATGAAGAAGAGGGGACACATGTTGATGTAGAAGAGACATGAAGAAGAGGGGACACATGTTGATGTAGAAGAGACATGAAGAAGAGGGGACACATGTTGATGTAGAAGAGACATGAAGAAGAGGGGACACATGTTGATGTAGAAGAGACATGAAGAAGAGGGGACACATGTTGATGTAGAAGAGACATGAAGAAGAGGGGACACATGTTGATGTAGAAGAGACATGAAGAAGAGGGGACACATGTTGATGTAGAAGAGACATGGAGAAGAGGGGACACATGTTGATGTAGAAGAGACATGAAGAAGAGGGGACACATGTTGATGTATAAGAGACATGAAGAAGAGGGGACACATGTTGATGTAGAAGAGACATGAAGAAGAGGGGACACATGTTGATGTAGACGAGACATGAAGAAGAGGGGACACATGTTGATGTAGACGAGACATAGAAGAGGGGACACATGTTGATGTAGAAGAGACATGAAGAAGAGGGGACACATGTTGATGTAGAAGAGACATGAAGAAGAGGGGACACATGTTGATGTAGAAGAGACATGAAGAAGAGGGGACACATGTTGATGTAGAAGAGACATGGAGAAGAGGGGACACATGTTGATGTAGAAGAGACATGAAGAAGAGGGGACACATGTTGATGTAGAAGAGACATGGAGAAGAGGGGACACATGTTGATGTAGAAGAGACATGAAGAAGAGGGGACACATGTTGATGTAGAAGAGACATGAAGAAGAGGGGACACATGTTGATGTAGAAGAGACATGAAGAAGAGGGGACACATGTTGATGTAGAAGAGACATGAAGAAGAGGGGACACATGTTGATGTAGAAGAGACATGAAGAAGAGGATTTAGCATAATGGGGGACCTTTAAGTCAACAGATTTCACACAACTGTATTATTATATATTGTATTAGTATTTCCATTGTATGCTACTTTGTACTTTCCCTCCACTACATGTATTTAATACCTTTAGTTACTTCACAGATGGAGGAATGATGGTAAATATAATCAAGTGTTAAATCAGACTTTAGTTCCACCTGGAGTAAATCCACCAGCTACCCTGCAGTATACAAAGTCATTCAGACTAGCTGCACCTTCACCAGCTTTGAGAACACTTTCATGATCAATCATTATAAAACATATCATATATATTATTCTGAAATGGACCAATCTGCACAACGACTACTTTTACTTTTGGTATATTAAGTACACTCGTATTTTACTTTTTAACATTTAGATTGCAGGACTGTTACTTGTAACAGAGTATTCCTACACTCTGGTATTTCTACTTTTACTCAGTACAAGATGTGAGTACTTCTCCCACCTCTGAGAGCAAGCATCCAGGCGAGGATGTGGCGCTTGTTGTGCTTTGTCTTGTTTTTTCCCCGGCGATAAAGTGCTGAGACAACTCACTCCAACTGGCATCATTACCCCAATCATCAAACAATTCTCTACGCACATCAGAAATCCCTCTATAAAGCCATAACAAGCACAGACTCTATATAACCAGTAGGCATGTAGAGAATGGCGGGGGGAGCGGAGTTAACGTTTGGCGGCTGACTCTGCGCGGTGGGTTGTGTAGGCAGGTCCTTGGCACACTTTCAGAGGAGATGGAGGGCTATAAAAGCCATTGGCTCCTGCCACACCTGTACCCACCCTGTCCCGCGGCCTGCTTCCTATTTAACAGCATCACATGCAGGATATTAGTCAGGGCTTTTCGCCGTCTGTGAGGTAGAGCTAACCTCTGAAGCAGAGTGGGGAGAGGGGAAAGTATGCAGGCCGCCGTTTGTTTTTTATTGGGGAAATAATGGCCTATTGAGAGGTTGGGTATTTAATGAGCAACATAATAGGCCCTGTAGTAACACATCTGCTCTGAGCAGAGTCATTTCCTCGGCTTTCAAAGGCTGCTGCTCCTGCCTTTGAAACGGCGAGTTCAGTTGCTTTCCACTTCGAGATATCTGCTTTTTATTAATTGCAGAATTGCTACAGCGGTAATACACAACATACATATAGGCTCTATGTTCAGTCCTAACCACATTCAAAAACACTTCCTCTCCTGGCTTGACCTCAAATCTCTCTCAATCTAATTCTAGTATCCTTCAAAATGTTCCCCAGCACTCCTAAATTCATTGCTGCGGAGGACAGGGGAACATTTTTGTCAGATTTTGCCTGATGCTTCTGTCAAGAAAAGTAACCAAATTAGGCAAAACATTGACATTTTCTTCAAAATCTATTCTAAAATTAAGTTAAAAATAAACCGTGTGCAGTAGCCACATCCTTGTAAAAACATAAAATGCTGCGTGCCTTATTCTAACTGTGGAGCCCTAAATGACTCATCTGCAACTCAAAGCCAAATAACAAAAAATGTGTAAAATATTGGACTGAACAGCCGTTTATGCTTATTAGAGATCTCACGACGCTACACCTGTAAACACAACATACCAATGCGCTCTCCAATGCTTTTGTCAGGAAAAGTATCCAAATGAAAGCTTTAAATTGTAATTTTCTTCAAAATCACTGGATTCTGCACTTTCAAATGTAGACAGAAATAAACAGTAAGTACATCCTGTTAAAACAATACATCCTGCGCTGCTTAAATAAGCATATAACCATTATCTCAGTCACATGACACACATTTGACTCAACTGCAAGGCAGGTTTCTCCATATCTGCTTTTTATTGGTTGCAGAATTGAAACGCCGTTAATACACAACATACAAACGTGCTGCTACAGGCTGCCTGTTTATAAGCTGTTCAATCCCAACCGCATTCAAAAGACCCACAAAGACACGCTTCCTCTCCTGGCTTGACCTCAAATCTGTCCAATCTAATTCCAGCATCCTTCAAACCCCCTCCCCCGCCCCTTACTCTGCAATCAATGGTGTTTAATGTATTAAAGACACTCACCACAACCACGGCAACCTTTGGCCCTTGCACGAATCAATGCCTCGTTAGACCTCTAATGATCATTCATTGACTAATAAGATCTGTATCAACCTCTTGTGGAACATTGATTGGCCTTTGGCCCTCTGTAGTGCTCCCGGGGTTAGGTTGACACACAGATGTAAGTCCCGGGGAGTCGGAAGATGAGAAAGCTCCTGGACAGGAATCCTAAATCTCAAATAGACTCATTGTGAAGCACCTCAGGCTGAAAGCCTTTTCTGCTGCCCTGCAGATCAATGGACATCAGCTCTGACCACAGGTCCGTCTCGCCCTCATCTTCTCCATTAGTCGCTGCGATTGTTCCATCAGGTGCGGGCGTGGCTCCGCATGTGTGTGTCCAATCATCTGGTTGATGGAGAGTGGACAGGATAGCTGCGTCTCTGCGACCATATTGTCCTCCTCAGGCCCCGAGGGCAAAGATCGAAGGCTGCCTCCGCCTCGCTCCAACCAATCAATCTGGCCCTCATTGAGATGCATGGCTCAATGATCTTTGATAGGGACTTACAGATTGGAGAGAGCGAGAGGAAGTCAGAGGGGGGAGTTAGCATTGTCCTTGGGTGTTTGCAGTAATATGAGGCTACTTACAAGCCACCTCATAAGGAAATGTCTGCAGGTCCATTTGAGGAGTTCTGTCTATTCATTCCTGTTTGGGGCAGAGAGTCTAAATGTCAAATCAGCTATTTTATTTGTTCAACATTGACCCTCTGAAACCAAGAACCCGTTGGCGTGTTTGAAAAGCAATAAATCACCAAAATTACAACAAATACCACAACCAGAAACACTAGGAAGAGACTTTTTCATAAGATTCTCAAATGTCCATCGGTTCCTTAAAGGGTCATGTGAGGTAAATACTATCAGGGAAGTTAGGTATATCGAAGCCTAAAAATTGTGATGAATCAAAATCAGTGTAATCACCGTGCCTTATTTCATTGTTTTGCCACTTTTCACTGACAACATTATGCAAAATCATTCCAATTTGGACTGAAGAGCGTTCCATGTGTTTGCTGAGACCAACCAAATTCACATAAAGGCTTTTGTATGGTTTAAAGCATAATGTGGTATACTATTCCAAATACTTCTTATAGTTCTCACGATTCTAACCATAAATGTGCTCTTTCCATAGAGGTAGAGGATATGCAGTGAAATACCAGGCCAGAGTGGCTATATGACAGGAGCAAAAAAAGGAAAGGCTTTAGAGGCTAAATGAACACTAGATGTCTTCCCAGCTATGTGGGGAATTATGTAAGAACAAAATTGTGTTCAAGAGATTTGACCCAAAATGATGGATCCATGAAGACTTACATTACCCCCACAATGTTCCAGTCTGTCCCCTTCCCTCACCCCGCTTCTTTCCCCGCCATCTATCTGCCGTCAGCAGTTATGATCCTCCAAAAGTTGAGACGTAATCGAGCTGATACTCTGGGCAGCAAATGCCAGATCCAGACGTTGACATGTGTTTTCTGTCTGTCACAGTCAGAGCGTTGGATCTCTGCTGACGGAGGACAGGAGACGCTCACCGGTGGCCTGTCACTCACTCTGAAGGCCTGTCACTCACTCTGAAGCCTTCAAACTGCTCAGAGATCAGCTCCGTCTCACTGTATCACACCGTCGGGAAAACACCTCCATCAACACACTGCAGGAGAATCTAGTGCCAATATCCATTTGAGTTTAACATGAGTAAATCTGTCCCAGGGGGGAGTTGTTCTGGTGCCCCATGTACCATACTTAAGAGTGTGCAACCATCGAAAAGTAGTGATCCAGCTGCAAACACAAGGGTGCTACTGTAGAGTCTTTTAGCAGATAACAACATGCTTGTTAACGTTTTTTTTTGCAGTAATGAAAAAGTCAAATTGGCACAAAAAGCTGCAGGTTTGTTGCGTCTCAATGAGTGCCTTCCTCTAGAAAGAAGTCACTCATGAACTCATGTGTACGCCTGCTGTGAAGCACTTATATTTAATGTACCGGAATTATGGCTGCAATATTTTTCCGTGTGCAAATGTACTTTGTGTGGGTTGAACCAAAACTATACGTCATTATTGTGAATGTGATAATCGCGTGCGTGTGTGTGTGTGTGGTGCGCGCGTGTGTGCTACACAGATCACAAACCCTCATTAGAGGCTAATTGATTGGCTCTATAAATACAGATCACTATTACCAGGGCCACTGATTAACACAACTCTATACTCTCTCTTATATTATTCCATCCTCTCCTCACTCTCTTTTTCTCATTAGTGGTTAATAGGGCTGAAATTAGGGTCTCGCTCTGTTGCCTGCGTTGAGTGTTAACTATTTCCAAACAGTCTCAGATCAGCAGTGTGTCGCTGTGTGTCGAACTCACTGAAGAGTTTAATTAGGACTCATCAGTGATACTACAACAACAACTGGAAGAGCAATTGCAGAACCAACGATGCATTCAAATGCGCCTGGGATAGGTTAAGGGGCGGGACATCTCTAAGCGGTTGACCAATCACAACAGAGCCGGCCAGCTGAGCCAATCAGAGCAGAAAGGGCTCTGGTTTCAGACAGAGGGTGAAAAGAGGTCACATGTCACAGTAGAGCAGTGGTTCTCAAACTCTCTCTCCTCTCGCTATCCTCTCTATATAGCTATATCTCTCTCTATCTCTCTCTCGCTCTCTCTCTCTCTCTATCTCTCTCTATCTATCTCTCTCTCTCTCTCTCTCTCTCTCTCTCTCGAGTCGTGAACATTTTCTTGTAGCTGCGTCAACAAAAGATGTGTGATTTTCTACATTGCACAAAGTGGCTTGAAAATAAAAAAAACGATCACGCCTGTGCTTTTTCAGCATCAAGAAGCTTTGCCAACTCCGACACGTTCGGGGCTCTGTTTTGCACACTCTTAAACTCGCCTAAACAAACATCGCACCGCAGTTTGGCAATTTTAAAACAACCAGACCCAATAAGAGAAGAGTGGGTGCTTTGAACACTTACAGGCAATGCTTCTTGGATTTAAAACGTGGATTTACTGCGTTCCTTCGGCTGCTATCAGGTGCACCGGCTGAAGCTCAGATGAGGTTCCCAGATGGTGGTAAAAGGTTTCATGCACAGTTACTTGTATAGTTCAGCATGTAAGGAGAAAGTCTGAACATTAGTGCTGTCAGTATGACTCCAGATCAGTTTGCTATAGAAAAAGAAGAAGAAAGGAAATAGAGAGGAATGACGGATTTTACTGCAACACCACAACCCCCGTCACTAAAGCATTTCATTTGGTTTGCTCTGAAGAAATGCTTTTGGATTTCTCCTTCAATGTTTTCTCTCCAAAGGACCCTTTACCTTGGTCAGAGAACTCTTTAGATGGCCGGTCGAGACAGATAGTGTTTTATCTGGTCTTTTCTTTTGATTTGATTTGTGTTGTCAGTCTATATCAGGGGTGTCAAACTCAAGGCCCGGGGGCCAAATCCGGCCCGAGACTTCATTTTCTGTGGCCCTGCAAGAGCTCTGAAAGAATATAATATGTTTATTATACGATTACATGCCGATTTACAGAAGCGTTGCCCATAAACTACATGTCCCACAATGCATCTCTCATTTGACTTTTTCCTCCGAATTTGCCTTTTTTTTCTAAATGTTAATTTTCTTTTTTTTCTTCAGAATTTGGCTTTTCTTTTTAAATCATTTTGTGACCTTCTCACTGAAGAGACTTGCAATGATTTGCCCTAGACTTCTGCTTTCAGATGTAGTTAATTATGATGTTATTACCCTATCCCATAATAATCCAATGCAGAGGCAATAATGTAATAATACATTATTTTATATTTATATATGTATTTGTATATAGTCTTAAAGTTACAACCGGCCCGTTGAGTGCAACCATAATGCTGCTGAGTTTGACGCCCCTGATCTATATTAACTTTGTGTACTTTCTGGATCAATGTGTTCTGTTGTAACGGCTTCATTGCAAGGAACACTGAAGCATACAAACTGTGTGAAAACTATTTTCAATACACATGTTATTCAAAAATATGAAGAAGGGAAGACAGAGAGCAGAGAATACAAATTTGTGAAATGGGTATAGAGAGGCGAAGTCCCTCCCTTTCCGGTGGAGCTCCATGGGACTTTATTTCGTAAAAAGTATGTATTGAAGTCAATGGAGAGAGAAAGATTATCTTTCCCGTTTGAATTGTTCCACGAATTACACATATGATGTTTGTCAATTTAAAAGATAATTTTGCAAGTACATTTTTTTTAAATGTGTCGTAAAACTGTGAAGTAATACTTTGTTTGTGTGAAACCGCTCAATGAACTACATCTCCCGTCTCGCACCACACACCAAGACGGCCGTCACGTTGAAACATTTCACTTCTTTCTCTCAGAATGAGGCGGAAAGTATTAAAAGAGGTGAAAATCACTCCAAGTCTGGGCACGTTGAGAGCTGTACATACACACAAGGGGAGTTAGTCGGTTCCTAAGAGCCAGCATGCGGGACCGGGACTCTGGGATTTGTAGTCTTTCTCGTTGCGTATTTTTCATAGTCTTATATTTCAACAGTTTTACGACAAACTGTGACTTTTTTGACATGGAAATTATTTTTTAAGATTGACAAACATCATATGTGGAATTCGTGGCACAAACGGGAAGTTTTCTCTCTCCATTGACTTCAATACATACTTTTTCCGAAATAAGGTCCCATGGGTCGGGGCGGGACTTCGCCTCTATCTTAAAATACAGCAAATGCAAAAAGGGACACAAGTTTTGATTGTGTGTCAAGTTGTGTCCACCTTGAGTAGTTAGAGTAGCTTTCAAACTCTCCCCCCTCTAAGGTTTCAGAGAGGTATTATGGTGGTTTGATAGTCGTATTAGAGATCTCTTTCTCGTTCCCTCAGAACTGCTAACAACACAGGACACACTGCAATTGTGCCTAAAGAAACTGCGCAGCTGAGACGATGATAACATATCTTCGGTCCGCTGATTTCATATAAACAAGTAGATCTATCTATATCTGGGGCTTTTAATGTAAAAGGGAGATTGCAACCTATAAGCAGACAGAATTGCAAGCAGATATTCTCATCCCTCTGTCATCTGCAATCAACATTTACTTCATCGTGATCAACGAAAAATAGGATCCATTGTCAATTTAACATGCCTTTGTCCTTTGCAGCCTGTATCATGTGGCAGATGACACACACTGTCCAGCTCTGCCTATGAAACCCCCCCCCCTGTTTTCCCCTCACACACCTGTCCCACATACAGGTGAGCAGCGGAAGCATTAACCATTAAAGAGACACTAATACACTTCAAACACAATCTGAGTTGCTGTGTTCGTGAACAGAAAAACGACCCGCATCGGGCTCCGATCTCAGACGGTTCATAGCACATTTAGATCCAGCATGCATCATCAAAGATAAGACATCCCCCCCCCCCCCTCTCCGTTAGATAAGATCAGAAACAGTGTGGAGCGCTGCGGGTGGAGCACCTGGCTCTGTGTGACACACCTGTGTTTGGGTTACTCACACTTCCTAAAG